CACGCCGGAGGGCACGGCGGGGGTGAAGCCATGGAAGGGGTTCACTCCGTCCCGTGAGTCCGCGAGCAGGCGCCTCGCGTTGCTGATGTAGCGCGGCAGCCCCCCCGGGTAGCTCGCATCCAGCCGCGCTGCCTGGAGAAGAGGAGAAAGTTAGAGTGCTGGGAGGCAGCATGATGCGAGCAAGACTCGCAGCGTGGAGACACATGGGCGTGGTGCTAGAGGGATGCTCCAATCGCATGGGCATGGTGCTAGAGGGATGCTCCAATCGCATGGGCATGGTGCTAGAGGGATGCTCCAATCGCATGGGCATGGTGCTAGAGGGATGCTCCAATCGCATGGGCAACATGGTGCTAGAGGGATGCTCCAATCGCATGGGCATGGTGGTAGAGGGATGCTCCAATTGCATGGGCATGGTGCTAGAGGGATGCTCCAATCGCATGGGCATGGTGGTAGAGGGATGCTCCAATCGCATGGGCATGGTGCTAGAGGGATGCTCCAATCGCATGGGCATGGTGCTAGAGGGATGCTCCAATCGCATGGGCATGGTGCTAGAGGGATGCTCCAATCGCCCTCGTTTCTTCTCTCACCTGCTCGAAGAACCGCCGCTTGTCGTCATCATTGCTTCCAGGCTCCGGCCAATGGGAGAAGAGATGCGCTTGACCACATGAGACAAGCTTGCCGGCCAGATCGATCTGAAGAGCGGAGGGAGAGGGGGGTGGGGGGCGGGGGGGAAGCAGAGCAAGCAGGCACAGCAGGGATAACGCGACGATGATGATGGCGGGGCGGATGGCAAGAGAGTAGACTTGATTTTTACACGCTACCTAACGTAGATTTATGCAATTCGGTGCCTGATTGCTGCGCAGACGCCGGTACCTGGTCAGTGGAAAGGAGATGCAGATTGCTGCGGAGCCCTTCAACGGCCGATAGCTCGGGCCACTCTGCCGCCCGAGATGCCGTATCTCGCTCCGCAGCAGGCGGAGCCGCAGCCGCCATGGAGTTCGGAGGCAGGGAGCAGGCGGCGCGCCAGAGCAGCGTAAGAAATGGTGGTGCTCAATAGCTAGTTAGCAGGAAACGGGATTCCGTGGCTTGAAAATGTCATTCCGTGGCGTCATGTGAGTGCTGAGCGAGGATTGACGAAATGGTAACCTCGCCCATCGAGGTTGGAACACATAATAGTTGTTGAACTGTTCCACACTGCATCCTTGTTCAAACAGGCTATAAGGAATTTTGCCTAATTCCTTACTGGCACCCTATGCGCGTACAATTCCAACTTTCTGAGTTCCCAGGCTTGGCCCGCCGACTTCGCCTGTCCACCGCGTCGCCTTCGGGTTTTCCAACCCCAAACCTGCACCCAACCTTGCGCGGTCCTGCGACATTGGTGTTACGCTATAAAATTTAATGAGAATGCATTCCTGTATGCTGCAGGAGCCGACTCTACCGAGTACGAAGTCGAGGCGTCAGAAGAGTCGAAGCGACGCCAGCAACCGTCAGATCAAGACCGATGCAGGCAGTTAACATTTGAAGTAAAAAGAGTGGGAACATGTTTGAAACAGGTTCCGCACTGCACGGTTTCAACTTCGCTGCAATAAGAGAATGTACCCCTTAGAGTACATGGCTAGTCTAGGACTTTTCTATTCCCTGTATTTCCTATATAAACTCGATGTATGCATGCTATTATCATCTCAGTCATTTTACATTCACTCTGATCTGAGGTCAACACTTCCGCTGCAATATCATATGCGAACAACTCAGAGCCGATCCTTGGCTAAGTCCCACTTGGGATTGTAACACTTAGCCTAGCTAGCCTTCACTATATCTCTGCTAGGTCTCATTATTCTGACAGTAGTTGTAAACTGGTAACCACTTCCGCGATATTGCATTATGCGCACTCTTTTTCTTACAACGCATGAAACAGCAACATATGAAACACCAGCTGCTATTATTCCACGTTCTTTCAAGGGGAAGACCCTGATTTCGGCACTAGTATATGTAATACAACATCATGCATTAATATACTAATGCAGCATATATGGCTATCTACGATCTCCAAGATACACAATAAGCTGTGTTATGAACATGATTCATTAGGGCGACTTGTCAACACACAAAAACGAGGCTGCGAATGGCACGGCAGAAAAACACAACCAGATGTACAGTAAAACGCCACAGGATTCGGTGGCTGATGATGGATACTCGACCAATGGAGCGTTGAGAAACCAGTTATTCTTCAACGTCCTATTGGAGCCCCGTTTTGGATTTACTTAAACGACTTCTACAACGGTACAGCGGGAGATCCCATCCCACCCACACCACCCACCACACAATGACAGCCGGACTTGCTGCCAGGCCGTGATTGGGCAAGACCATTTGACAATTGCTTTCCCAAGCTGCCCGAAGCTGAACCAGCCAAAGCACCAGGGCTGGTCACATTGATTTGTTCCCTTGATTCACTCCGAACATTGTCCGTGCAAGGGGCAAAATCCGTGCATACCCTTGAGCGGTTGTCCAATGTCCATTTCGGTGAAGTGAGGGCCACAGAAAGAACTTAGATACGGAGCAGAACTTACTGCTGCAACTTCATTTCTGCGGTCCACCAGAACCGGTGGTAATGGCAGGAAAAGATTTGGCGAAACTGAGGTGGGGGGCATTTTTGTGGTGCAGACCCAGACAGACTGTCAGCGGGCGGCTTCCCTTGTCGGGAATTTTGAATATTGTATCTGCTGTACAGCGTGTGAACTGTAACGTCCAGCACAAAGCTCTTTCCATCTCATCTCTCACAAGGACGATTCTTTCACCTGCCCGATCCTGACTTGTTTTGCCACTCCTTCCAAGCAGGTCCCCCTGCGCCAGCTGGCTCTGCCCCCAAAATTGCGACTGCGACGGGCTTCACCGCCGCACTCGGCAGCGCGCAGCAGTGACTGTGGTGCACCAGTCGTTCGGCGATGCGGGGGGGAAGGCGGACAGCACAGCTGAGGAAAACTGAGTCCCCCAACAGGACAAGAAGCGGTTTGGGGAAGTGGATGAGGTTGCGGGGGAGGGGAGGGAGGCTGTTGGATACTGTAGTCACGGGGGCAGAAGGGGAACCAATGAGAGAAGCGGCGTACGTCACATTGCTGCGTGGGCAGGGGATCCGCCACCACTCATCTCCGCTGGGTTGCACGCGCGGACTATCTCACACTGCGCACTGCGCACTTCTTTCCCCATTCTGCCTTCACTTCCATTCCATCCTCCTCTTTTCCCCTTCTCCTTCAAGCCCCAACTTCCCGAACAGCCTTGTTTAGACGCTCCTGTTAGGGCATTTCGTCAAGCTTTGCTTGGGGTTAGAGGAACGCATTGAAATTGTTTTTCCTCATCCATCAGCTGTACGCTTGCGATAATCCTGTGCGGTTGTATCCCTAGCAGATTTCGACTTGTCGTCGAAGCTAGTCTAGCTTCGACAGAGGTGTATTGTGGTTGACAAACCCAAGGGGTTGGACTGAGGAAGGAGAGCGCCCGAGAATGTTTCAGCGTTTGTCGGCCCGCGGATCTCACCGCCAGCGCCTGGAGCTGCACTCCGCCATGGTCGCAATGGAGGTCTCCGCCACTCCGCCGTCCGCGCACTCCCCGTGCCCCTCCCGCTCCCCCATGTCCACCGCGGTCGAGTCCCCCATGCCCTCCACGCGCCGCATGTCCCTCCAAATCGACGATCTTGAGCGTCCGATGCACCGCAACAGCGTCTTCAACGGTCGGGATGTGTTTGGACGACCGAGCGGAGAGCCCGTCATGCAACCACAGCCCGAAGCGGGTTTCGACCATTCTGCTTCGGCTGTACGCACCCAAACAACAGCGCCGGCTCCAGCACCAGCGCCAGCGGCGGCGGCAAGCGCGGCGTTGGGAGCGACGGACTGGGCGTGTCTGTACGCGCCGCACAACGATCCTTCCCGCCGCCGCCGGTCGCTTGACTGCATCCGCTCCGCGCGCAAATCCGACCGCTCCGCTGCTGCTTTCAACGCGGTCAACGATGCTAGTAGCGTGGACGCCCGCAGCCAAGCGCTGCTCGCCGCGAACGGCGCGGGGGGCGGGGGATCCGATAGCGAGGATGAGGTCTGCAGCACCCGCGCGGAGCGCCGGGGGACAGCCGCTGCGCAAACATCGCGCCAACCGCGGAACGTTTTTGTCTCGAACCCTTGGCAAGCGGGGACGGTCTCTGGGGATATAGCCGCGGGGCTTCAGAGGACGCAGGCGGGAGGCGCGCGGCGGGGAGGAACTATTAACGACTGCTCGATGGATGTAGATGGGGGGGACGGATGGGGGGGTGTGGAGGCGTGGGGAGGAGTGGAGCAGGCGCTGCATCCGGCGGGGTTGATGCAGGCGCGCGCAGCCATGGTGGCGCAAGGCGGCGGGATTGGCGGCGCACAGCCACATGCAGTGGCAGGCTCGCACCGGGGGGTGGTGATGTCAAACCCCTGGGCCAGCTGAGAAGTCCGTCCCGTATATTATCTATTTTGCTGATTTCGTTCTTTTCTTCCTCAGTCCGTTACGAGTTTTTATGTACATCCCTGCTTAGCTAAGGCAGCACGTATGTTTGTCAATAATGGCGTCAGTGTGTGCTGTCTACACTGTTGAAAACCCGATACCCACTAATAGTTGTGCATTTGCTCTTGCTAATTGTGGGACGAAATGAATCTCAGGATCCCATTGCCATTGTATGACTAAATCTCCTTGTGATGACCATTCTGTGCCTGCTGGTGGTTAACGCTAGTTCATCTTGATTCCTTTGTTAAGAATAGCAGGTATTCCTCTTCAGACAACGCTAGCAAAAAAATGCATATCTGCCGTGTATTACAATTGCTGATGATGCATCCAACACCAAAGCATGCTAACGATGGATTGCCATGCCTTGCCCTGGGCATTCATGCTGACATGACATGTGGCATGCAGGATGTGACGTGGCATGTGGCATGCAGGATGTGGTGTGGCATGTGGCATGCAGGATGTGACGTGGCATGTGGCATGCAGCATCAAGGTGTGGAATCGGAGTGTTTGAAGGCCCCAGCTGCCACAAGCAGGTTGCGGCGCGTGAACTGCCGAGAGGGGTGTGGTGGAAGCGAGGATGGGGAGGGGAGGTCGAGAGGGGGCGGGGATTGGGAATTGCAGGGCGAGTTGAAATGAACGGAGGCACTGCGTGACTGAAAAGGGGGGGGCTTGGAGGATTGCATGGGGAGTTGCTAAGGGAGACTAAACACTTGTACAAGGAGCATGATGCAGGTGTTGTGCAGAGGATGGGAGGCAGACAAAGAGGCAAACCCCACTTTGAGGTGGATTGAGGAGAGATGAGCGGGCGGAGAGTGGGGGATGGATACCTGCAGGGCGGAGATGGGTGTTGACTTGGTGGGGAAGGTCTTGAGGAGGCGCAGGCGGCGCCCCACCGATGTTCTGATGCCCATGCATGGACAGGCGTGGGGGGAAGGGAGCAAGGCACAACACAGGAGAGGGCGCCCCCACAGGAAAGGCATGACAGAGCGGTTGAACGAATGTGGAGGCACCATGTTGAACGAATGTGGAGGCACCATACGGGGGGGGAATACAGCAGAGAGGGACGACGGCAGACAGGGCAGGCAGTGATGGAGACAAGTAGAGCATCTATACTCGCTCCTGAGTCGACTCAAAAGCAGACTCAAAAGAAGGCTCAAAAGCGGACTCAAAAGCAGACTCAAAAGCAGGCTCAAAAGCAGGCTCAAAAGCAGACTCAAAAGCAGGCTCAAAAGCAGGCTCAAAAGCAGACTCAAAAGCAGGCTCAGAATCACCAGTTTGGCTCCTGAACAATTGGCACTCACATGCAGCTGAAGACCCATGGCCGCATGACATGCCCTCCCCCCACTCACATGCCCTCCCCCCCCCTCACATCCGATCCCCGCCACTCACTTGGCCTCGTTGGGCGCGAGCTTGCTGGCAGCAGCGACGTCCCACAGCCGCACCGTGTCGTCCGCTGCCCCCGACGCCAGCACTGCCGACTCGCCACTGCTCCAGCAGACAGGCATGGTGCACGGGGGGGGAGATGCATACGAGGGACGTGGGGGAGATGCATACGAGGGACGTGGGGGAGATGCATACGAGGGACGTGGGGGAGATGCATACGAGGGACGTGGGGGAGATGCATACGAGGGATGTGGGGGAGATGCATGCGAGGGACGTGGGGGAGATGCATACGAGGGACGTGGGGGAGATGCACACGAGGGACGTGGGGGAGATGCACACGAGGGACGTGGGGGAGATGCACACGAGGGACGTGGGGGAGATGCACACGAGGGACGTGGGGGAGATGCATACGAGGGACGTGGGGGAGATGCATACGAGGGACGTGGGGGAGATGCATACGAGGGACGTGGGGGAGATGCATGCGAGGGACGTGGGGGAGATGCACGCGAGGGACGTGGGGGAGATGCATACGAGGGACGTGGGGGAGATGCACGCGAGGGACGTGGGGGAGATGCACGCGAGGGACGTGGGGGAGATGCATACGAGGGACGTGGGGGAGATGCATGCGAGGGACGTGGGGGAGATGCACGCGAGGGACGTGGGGGAGATGCATACGAGGGACGTGGGGGAGATGCATGCGAGGGACGTGGGGGAGATGCATACGAGGGACGTGGGGGAGATGCATACGAGGGACGTGGGGGAGATGCATGCGAGGGACGTGGGGGAGATGCACGCGAGGGACGTGGGGGAGATGCATGCGAGGGACGTGGGGGAGATGCATACGAGGGACGTGGGGGAGATGCATACGAGGGACGTGGGGGAGATGCATACGAGGGACGTGGGGGAGATGCATACGAGGGACGTGGGGGAGATGCATACGAGGGACGTGGGGGAGATGCATACGAGGGACGTGGGGGAGATGCATACGAGGGACGTGGGGGAGATGCATACGAGGGACGTGGGGGAGATGCACGAGGGACGTGGGGGAGATGAGGGACGTGGGGGAGATGCACACGAGGGACGTGGGGGAGATGCACGCGTGGGAGCAGCAAAATCACAGAGTCGTCCAGTGCCCCTGCTGCCACCACCGCGGAATCGCCACTGCTCGCCACGCAGGCAGGCAGCACGGCACGGTGCACGGAGAGAGGAGATGCATGCCGGCCGGCCGGCAGACAGGGAAGGTTTAAGTGGCAGCAGGTGCGGGTGCCAACAGGTAGCCTGTGTGGGTCAGAGCAGGCGGAATCTCGACTTGTGGAGCACGAATGGCATTGCTATGGCACACACGGCACAAGAACACTTTACCACACTGCACCGCACCGCACCCACCTGAAAGCTAGCGTCCACACGCAACCAGTGTGGCCGAGCAAGGGCGCAATACAGCGGCCCGTGCCCAGGTCCCACAGCAGCACAGTGCCGCCCTCATCCCCCGACGCCAGGAAGCGGCCGTCCGGGGACGTGGCGAGTGCGTACACGGGCGAGCGGTGGGCGGCAAAGACTCGGCAGCACTCGCCGGTCTGCACGTCCCACAGGCGCAGCGTCTTGTCGCTGGAGCATGTGGCGATGTAGTTGCAGTTGGCGTGCCACCGCACCGCCTGGGGCGAGAGGGGGGCAACGGGTTTGAGGGGGAATCGGGAGGCAGGGAGGAGACAGTGTTGAGAGCGATAAGGACTGGAAGCGACACAGGATTCACACATAGCAAGACAGCGACTGACATGACATGCACATGCACGTCAGAAATGTCCTTAGGAGGCAATGACTGACATGCACATCGGAGAGGTGGCCCGCCAAATGCTCAGCGGGTATGAGCACTCCATGCTCCACACGCGCCAGTCATGCTCCACACGCGCCAGTCATGCTCCACACGCGCCAGTCATGCTCCACACGCGCCAGTCATGCTCCACACGCGCCAGTCATGCTCCACACGCGCCAGTCATGCTCCACACGCGCCAGTCATGCTCCACACGCGCCAGTCATGCTCCACACGCGCCAGTCATGCTCCACACGCGCCAGTCATGCTTCACACGCGCCAGTCATGCTCCACACGCGCCAGTCATGCTCCACACGCGCCAGTCATGCTCCACACGCGCCAGTCATGCTTCACACGCGCCAGTCATGCTCCACACGCGCCAGTCATGCTTCACACGCGCCAGTCATGCTCCACACGCGCCAGTCATGCTCCACACGCGCCAGTCATGCTTCACACGCGCCAGTCATGCTCCACACGCGCCAGTCATGCTCCACACGCGCCAGTCATGCTCCACACGCGCCACTCACGCTCCACACGCGCCAGTCATGCTCCACACGCGCCAGTCATGCTCCACACGCGCCAGTCATGCTCCACACGCGCCAGTCATGCTCCACACGCGCCAGTCATGCTCCACACGCGCCAGTCATGCTCCACACGCGCCAGTCATGCTCCACACGCGCCAGTCATGCTCCACACGCGCCAGTCATGCTCCACACGCGCCAGTCATGCTTCACACGCGCCAGTCATGCTCCACCCACACGCGCCAGTCATGCTCCACCCACACGCGCCAGTCATGCTCCACCCACACGCGCCAGTCATGCTCCACACGCGCCAGTCATGCTCCACCCACACGCGCCAGTCATGCTCCACCCACACGCGCCAGTCATGCTCCACACGTGCCAGTCATGCTCCACCCACACGCGCCAGTCATGCTCCACACGCGCCAGTCATGCTCCACCCACACGCGCCAGTCATGCTCCACCCACACGCGCCAGTCATGCTCCACCCACACGCACCAGTCATGCTCCACCCACACGCGCCAGTCATGCTCCACCCACACGCGCCAGTCATGCTCCACCCACACGCGCCAGTCATGCTCCACCCACACGCGCCAGTCATGCTCCACCCACACGCGCCAGTCATGCTCCACCCACACGCGCCAGTCATGCTCCACAACTTACGTGCACGTCAGAGAGGTGACCCGCCATGATGCGGAGAGGATAAGATCTCTCCATGCTCCACACGCGCGCCGTGCGGTCGTACGACGCCGTGGCAAAGTAGTGCCCCACGGGGGAGTGCTGCACGTCCCACACGGGGTAGCAGTGCGCGCGGTACGCCACCAGGCACGCGCCCAGCCCCAGGTGCCACAGGCGCACCGAGGCATCGGCAGAGGCGGAGAGCAGGAAGCGGTCGTCCGACGGGCTGAAGGAGGTTGCGTGCACGGCACCACTGTGGCCCCTCAAGGCCATGTACCGTTTGCTGGTGCTGCTGGAGGTGGGGGTGGCGGTGGTTGTGTTGGTGGCTGTGGGTTGGCCACGTGGGGTGCTTTGTATGGCTGGGGCTTCGGCTGCTGCTGAGGTGTCGAGGGACAGGGCGGCTGGGGGAGGAGGGCGGGGAGAGGGGAGGGGGAGGATGAGGAGGACGGAGTGAAGTGAGACACATGAGGGTTGATGATGAAGAGAAAGATGGGGGGGAGGTGATGTGAGAGGTGAGAAACGGTGAATGGAAGGCGAGAGACAGTGGAGAAACGATGGATGGAAAATGTGAAAGTAAGAAACGAGAGATGAGAATAGGCTGTGAAAAGCCTACTTTGTGGCAGGGGAGAGGAGCCAATGGATCGCATGTCCCACACCTGTGTGGTGGAGAGGAGAGACGACGAAGAAGCAAATGGATCAGAGAGAGGGAGAGTGAGGAAGTGAGGGAAGAGGAGGTGGGGCAGCAGCAGAGCATGTGAGAGCATGTTCAAGCAGTCGTCTTCATAAAGGCTAGCATTCATGTTCATGCATGAATGTTACCAGTGGGGAAGAGTGACATCGCGATGCGACTTGGATGGGATGTGATGCGTGATAGCATTGAACAATACATGATAGGAGTGAATCTGATGTCTGAACGAAATGTCCGAACGGACCGAAGTTAATGTCTGATTGATCGAAACATGATGCATTGAATGAAGGCTGTCACCTTGATGGAGGAGTCATTGAAGCCTGCAGCAAGCAGAGCACCATCGGGAGCAACGGACACTGACGTCATGCTGGCGAGGGAAGGGCGCACGCACACAGGACCATGGGTGGTTGGTCAGGCATGCGCGGTGAGCGGGATGACTGAGTGATGCAAGAGAAAACGAATAGCACTCGATCACAAACACATGTGCGGGCAGGGTGACAGCGTGGTTTGGCTGTACCTGTGTGCGTGCAGCAGTGCACGGTGCATAGCAGCCCAGCCTTGAGAGCGAGCAGCACGGCAGAGCAGAGCAGGGCGCACCTGGAGTGAGCAGGGCGCACCTGGGGTGTGCATGCAGCAGCGTGTAGCAGCACACGGACGGCAGTGCCTGCGCCCCCAGCGCCACACGACGCCTCAAGTCGTCAAACACCTGCTTCTCCGCCTCCTCCCTCCTGCCTTGTGCAGCAGCAGAGAGGGGGGAAGAAGAGAAAGGAGACAATGGAAGGAGTAGCAGTGCCTGCGCTCCCAGCGCCACTCGCCGCCGCAAGTGGTCAAACACCTGCTTCTCCGCCTCCTCCCTCCTGCCTTGTGTTGTCACCGGCAGCAGCAGAGCGGAGAGGCCAAGGGAAGAGAGGCAGAGAGGGAGAGAGGGGCAGAGAGGCGAGAGGCATAAGAGGGAGGGACATGAATGGGAGGGACATGAATGGGAGGGACATGAATGGGAGGGACATGAATGGGAGGGACATGAATGGGAGGGACATGAATGGGAGGGACATGAATGGGAGGGACATGAATGGGAGGGACATGAATGGGAGGGACATGAATGGGAGGGACATGAATGGGAGGTACATGAATGGGAGGGACATGAATGGGAGGGACATGAATGGGAGGGACATGAATGGGAGGGACATGAATGGGAGGGACATGAATGGGAGGGACATGAATGGGAGGGTTAGCAATGTGTAGCGGTGGTAGCACTGTGCCATGAACCGAACCTGACTAAAAGGAGGCGGCTGGACATGGACGTGGCCCGGCAGGGAGACATTAAGGGAAGGAGAGAGTGGGAAGGGGAGGTCAGCTCACATCTTGGGGAGAGTGGGAAGGGGAAGTCAGCTCACATCTTGGGGAGAGTGGGAAGGGGAGGTCAGCTCACATCTTGGGGAGAGTGGGAAGGGGAGGTCAGCTCACATCTTGGGGAGAGTGGGAAGGGGAGGTCAGCTCACATCTTGGGGAGAGTGGGAAGGGGAAGTCAGCTCACATCTTGGGGAGAGTGGGAAGGGGAAGTCAGCTCACATCTTGGGGAGAGTGGGAAGGGGAGGTCAGCTCACATCTTGGGGAGAGTGGGAAGGGGAGGTCAGCTCACATCTTGGGGAGAGTGGGAAGGGGAAGTCAGCTCACATCTTGGGGAGAGTGGGAAGGGGAGGTCAGCTCACATCTTGGGGAGAGGCAGGTGCGATGCCACGCGCGTGCCAGTCACTGCAGCAGCCCCGCCCGCCCCCTTGCCCTCCCCCGCCTTCCCCCCTTTTCCTCCAGCGGGCCCCCCTGCCCCCACTGCCCCCCTGCTACGCCCCCCGCGCCCCCCTTGAGCGCGTCCTTCTCCCCCGCCTTGTCCTTCTTCCCCTTCTTGCCTGCCCCCCCTGCTGCTGCCTTGCCGTCCGCCGCCCGCTTCTGAGGGGAGAGGGGCAGCACGCAGGGGGGCAGAAGATCAGAGGTGGGGTGGTGAGAGGCCATAAGAGGCCGTAAAAGAGCGTCAAAATCGAGGCACCCATTGACCACTTGCCCGCACCACCCACATGCACGCATCTCACCTTGCCGTCCTCCCCTTCGCCCTCGTCGCCCTCCTCCCTCTCAGCCTCCCTCTCCCGCTCCTGCTCCAGCCGGTGCTCCACCCCGTCCTCCAGCGCGCCCCACAGCACCTCGCGCTGCCCCATGCGCTTCATTGCCTCGTGTGTCGCCCCCGTCACCACCCCCGCCAGCATGCCCCCCCCCATGCCGCCCCCGTCCGCCCCTGCGCTTGACACCATGCCCGTTGCCTCGTCCTCCTCCTCCTCCTGCGCTGCTGGCCGCCCCGCGTGCACTGCGCGCAAGAGAAGGGGAGGGAGGCGGCGCGGGGGGAAGGGGGGCGGAGAGAGGGAGAGCTTGAGGAACTGCAGCTCGGGAAACTGCAGCTCGGGAAACTGCAGCTCGGGAAACTGCAGCTCGGGAAACTGCAGCTCGGGAAACTGCAGCTCGGGAAACTGCAGCTCGGGAAACTGCAGCTCGGGAAACTGCAGCTCGGGAAACTGCAGCTCGGGAAACTGCAGCTCGGGAAACTGCAGCTCGGGAAACTGCAGCTCGGGAAACTGCAGCTCGGGAAACTGCAGCTCGGGAAACTGCAGCTCGGGAAACTGCAGCTCGGGAAACTGCAGCTCGGGAAACTGCAGCTCGGGAAACTGCAGCTCGGGAAACTGCAGCTCGGGAAACTGCAGCTCGGGAAACTGCAGCTCGGGAAACTGCAGCTCGGGAAACTGCAGCTCGGGAAACTGCAGCTCGGGAAACTGCAGCTCGGGAAACTGCAGCTCGGGAAACTGCAGCTCGGGAAACTGCAGCTCGGGAAACTGCAGCTCGGGAAACTGCAGCTCGGGAAACTGCAGCTCGGGAAACTGCAGCTCGGGAAACTGCAGCTCGGGAAACTGCAGCTCGGGAAACTGCAGCTCGGGAAACTGCAGCTCGGGAAACTGCAGCTCGGGAAACTGCAGCTCGGGAAACTGCAGCTCGGGAAACTGCAGCTCGGGAAACTGCAGCTCGGGAAACTGCAGCTCGGGAAACTGCAGCTCGGGAAACTGCAGCTCGGGAAACTGCAGCTCGGGAAACTGCAGCTCGGGAAACTGCAGCTCGGGAAACTGCAGCTCGGGAAACTGCAGCTCGGGAAACTGCAGCTCGGGAAACTGCAGCTCGGGAAACTGCAGCTCGGGAAACTGCAGCTCGGGAAACTGCAGCTCGGGAAACTGCAGCTCGGGAAACTGCAGCTCGGGAAACTGCAGCTCGGGAAACTGCAGCTCGGGAAACTGCAGCTCGGGAAACTGCAGCTCGGGAAACTGCAGCTCGGGAAACTGCAGCTCGGGAAACTGCAGCTCGGGAAACTGCAGCTCGGGAAACTGCAGCTCGGGAAACTGCAGCTCGGGAAACTGCAGCTCGGGAAACTGCAGCTCGGGAAACTGCAGCTCGGGAAACTGCAGCTCGGGAAACTGCAGCTCGGGAAACTGCAGCTCGGGAAACTGCAGCTCGGGAAACTGCAGCTCGGGAAACTGCAGCTCGGGAAACTGCAGCTCGGGAAACTGCAGCTCGGGAAACTGCAGCTCGGGAAACTGCAGCTCGGGAAACTGCAGCTCGGGAAACTGCAGCTCGGGAAACTGCAGCTCGGGAAACTGCAGCTCGGGAAACTGCAGCTCGGGAAACTGCAGCTCGGGAAACTGCAGCTCGGGAAACTGCAGCTCGGGAAACTGCAGCTCGGGAAACTGCAGCTCGGGAAACTGCAGCTCGGGAAACTGCAGCTCGGGAAACTGCAGCTCGGGAAACTGCAGCTCGGGAAACTGCAGCTCGGGAAACTGCAGCTCGGGAAACTGCAGCTCGGGAAACTGCAGCTCGGGAAACTGCAGCTCGGGAAACTGCAGCTCGGGAAACTGCAGCTCGGGAAACTGCAGCTCGGGAAACTGCAGCTCGGGAAACTGCAGCTCGGGAAACTGCAGCTCGGGAAACTGCAGCTCGGGAAACTGCAGCTCGGGAAACTGCAGCTCGGGAAACTGCAGCTCGGGAAACTGCAGCTCGGGAAACTGCAGCTCGGGAAACTGCAGCTCGGGAAACTGCAGCTCGGGAAACTGCAGCTCGGGAAACTGCAGCTCGGGAAACTGCAGCTCGGGAAACTGCAGCTCGGGAAACTGCAGCTCGGGAAACTGCAGCTCGGGAAACTGCAGCTCGGGAAACTGCAGCTCGGGAAACTGCAGCTCGGGAAACTGCAGCTCGGGAAACTGCAGCTCGGGAAACTGCAGCTCGGGAAACTGCAGCTCGGGAAACTGCAGCTCGGGAAACTGCAGCTCGGGAAACTGCAGCTCGGGAAACTGCAGCTCGGGAAACTGCAGCTCGGGAAACTGCAGCTCGGGAAACTGCAGCTCGGGAAACTGCAGCTCGGGAAACTGCAGCTCGGGAAACTGCAGCTCGGGAAACTGCAGCTCGGGAAACTGCAGCTCGGGAAACTGCAGCTCGGGAAACTGCAGCTCGGGAAACTGCAGCTCGGGAAACTGCAGCTCGGGAAACTGCAGCTCGGGAAACTGCAGCTCGGGAAACTGCAGCTCGGGAAACTGCAGCTCGGGAAACTGCAGCTCGGGAAACTGCAGCTCGGGAAACTGCAGCTCGGGAAACTGCAGCTCGGGAAACTGCAGCTCGGGAAACTGCAGCTCGGGAAACTGCAGCTCGGGAAACTGCAGCTCGGGAAACTGCAGCTCGGGAAACTGCAGCTCGGGAAACTGCAGCTCGGGAAACTGCAGCTCGGGAAACTGCAGCTCGGGAAACTGCAGCTCGGGAAACTGCAGCTCGGGAAACTGCAGCTCGGGAAACTGCAGCTCGGGAAACTGCAGCTCGGGAAACTGCAGCTCGGGAAACTGCAGCTCGGGAAACTGCAGCTCGGGAAACTGCAGCTCGGGAAACTGCAGCTCGGGAAACTGCAGCTCGGGAAACTGCAGCTCGGGAAACTGCAGCTCGGGAAACTGCAGCTCGGGAAACTGCAGCTCGGGAAACTGCAGCTCGGGAAACTGCAGCTCGGGAAACTGCAGCTCGGGAAACTGCAGCTCGGGAAACTGCAGCTCGGGAAACTGCAGCTCGGGAAACTGCAGCTCGGGAAACTGCAGCTCGGGAAACTGCAGCTCGGGAAACTGCAGCTCGGGAAACTGCAGCTCGGGAAACTGCAGCTCGGGAAACTGCAGCTCGGGAAACTGCAGCTCGGGAAACTGCAGCTCGGGAAACTGCAGCTCGGGAAACTGCAGCTCGGGAAACTGCAGCTCGGGAAACTGCAGCTCGGGAAACTGCAGCTCGGGAAACTGCAGCTCGGGAAACTGCAGCTCGGGAAACTGCAGCTCGGGAAACTGCAGCTCGGGAAACTGCAGCTCGGGAAACTGCAGCTCGGGAAACTGCAGCTCGGGAAACTGCAGCTCGGGAAACTGCAGCTCGGGAAACTGCAGCTCGGGAAACTGCAGCTCGGGAAACTGCAGCTCGGGAAACTGCAGCTCGGGAAACTGCAGCTCGGGAAACTGCAGCTCGGGAAACTGCAGCTCGGGAAACTGCAGCTCGGGAAACTGCAGCTCGGGAAACTGCAGCTCGGGAAACTGCAGCTCGGGAAACTGCAGCTCGGTGAAGTGCAGCTCGGGAAAGTGCAGCTCGGGAAACTGCAGCTCGGGAAACTGCAGCTCGGGAAACTGCAGCTCGGGAAACTGCAGCTCGGGAAACTGCAGCTCGGGAAACTGCAGCTCGGGAAACTGCAGCTCGGGAAACTGCAGCTCGGGAAACTGCAGCTCGGGAAACTGCAGCTCGGGAAACTGCAGCTCGGGAAACTGCAGCTCGGGAAACTGCAGCTCGGGAAACTGCAGCTCGGGAAACTGCAGCTCGGGAAACTGCAGCTCGGGAAACTGCAGCTCGGGAAACTGCAGCTCGGGAAACTGCAGCTCGGGAAACTGCAGCTCGGGAAACTGCAGCTCGGGAAACTGCAGCTCGGGAAACTGCAGCTCGGGAAACTGCAGCTCGGGAAACTGCAGCTCGGGAAACTGCAGCTCGGGAAACTGCAGCTCGGGAAACTGCAGCTCGGGAAACTGCAGCTCGGGAAACTGCAGCTCGGGAAACTGCAGCTCGGGAAACTGCAGCTCGGGAAACTGCAGCTCGGGAAACTGCAGCTCGGGAAACTGCAGCTCGGGAAACTGCAGCTCGGGAAACTGCAGCTCGGGAAACTGCAGCTCGGGAAACTGCAGCTCGGGAAACTGCAGCTCGGGAAACTGCAGCTCGGGAAACTGCAGCTCGGGAAACTGCAGCTCGGGAAACTGCAGCTCGGGAAACTGCAGCTCGGGAAACTGCAGCTCGGGAAACTGCAGCTCGGGAAACTGCAGCTCGGGAAACTGCAGCTCGGGAAACTGCAGCTCGGGAAACTGCAGCTCGGGAAACTGCAGCTCGGGAAACTGCAGCTCGGGAAACTGCAGCTCGGGAAACTGCAGCTCGGGAAACTGCAGCTCGGGAAACTGCAGCTCGGGAAACTGCAGCTCGGGAAACTGCAGCTCGGGAAACTGCAGCTCGGGAAACTGCAGCTCGGGAAACTGCAGCTCGGGAAACTGCAGCTCGGGAAACTGCAGCTCGGGAAACTGCAGCTCGGGAAACTGCAGCTCGGGAAACTGCAGCTCGGGAAACTGCAGCTCGGGAAACTGCAGCTCGGGAAACTGCAGCTCGGGAAACTGCAGCTCGGGAAACTGCAGCTCGGGAAACTGCAGCTCGGGAAACTGCAGCTCGGGAAACTGCAGCTCGGGAAACTGCAGCTCGGGAAACTGCAGCTCGGGAAACTGCAGCTCGGGAAACTGCAGCTCGGGAAACTGCAGCTCGGGAAACTGCAGCTCGGGAAACTGCAGCTCGGGAAACTGCAGCTCGGGAAACTGCAGCTCGGGAAACTGCAGCTCGGGAAACTGCAGCTCGGGAAACTGCAGCTCGGGAAACTGCAGCTCGGGAAACTGCAGCTCGGGAAACTGCAGCTCGGGAAACTGCAGCTCGGGAAACTGCAGCTCGGGAAACTGCAGCTCGGGAAACTGCAGCTCGGGAAACTGCAGCTCGGGAAACTGCAGCTCGGGAAACTGCAGCTCGGGAAACTGCAGCTCGGGAAACTGCAGCTCGGGAAACTGCAGCTCGGGAAACTGCAGCTCGGGAAACTGCAGCTCGGGAAACTGCAGCTCGGGAAACTGCAGCTCGGGAAACTGCAGCTCGGGAAACTGCAGCTCGGGAAACTGCAGCTCGGGAAACTGCAGCTCGGGAAACTGCAGCTCGGGAAACTGCAGCTCGGGAAACTGCAGCTCGGGAAACTGCAGCTCGGGAAACTGCAGCTCGGGAAACTGCAGCTCGGGAAACTGCAGCTCGGGAAACTGCAGCTCGGGAAACTGCAGCTCGGGAAACTGCAGCTCGGGAAACTGCAGCTCGGGAAACTGCAGCTCGGGAAACTGCAGCTCGGGAAACTGCAGCTCGGGAAACTGCAGCTCGGGAAACTGCAGCTCGGGAAACTGCAGCTCGGGAAACTGCAGCTCGGGAAACTGCAGCTCGGGAAACTGCAGCTCGGGAAACTGCAGCTCGGGAAACTGCAGCTCGGGAAACTGCAGCTCGGGAAACTGCAGCTCGGGAAACTGCAGCTCGGGAAACTGCAGCTCGGGAAACTGCAGCTCGGGAAACTGCAGCTCGGGAAACTGCAGCTCGGGAAACTGCAGCTCGGGAAACTGCAGCTCGGGAAACTGCAGCTCGGGAAACTGCAGCTCGGGAAACTGCAGCTCGGGAAACTGCAGCTCGGGAAACTGCAGCTCGGGAAACTGCAGCTCGGGAAACTGCAGCTCGGGAAACTGCAGCTCGGGAAACTGCAGCTCGGGAAACTGCAGCTCGGGAAACTGCAGCTCGGGAAACTGCAGCTCGGGAAACTGCAGCTCGGGAAACTGCAGCTCGGGAAACTGCAGCTCGGGAAACTGCAGCTCGGGAAACTGCAGCTCGGGAAACTGCAGCTCGGGAAACTGCAGCTCGGGAAACTGCAGCTCGGGAAACTGCAGCTCGGGAAACTGCAGCTCGGGAAACTGCAGCTCGGGAAACTGCAGCTCGGGAAACTGCAGCTCGGGAAACTGCAGCTCGGGAAACTGCAGCTCGGGAAACTGCAGCTCGGGAAACTGCAGCTCGGGAAACTGCAGCTCGGGAAACTGCAGCTCGGGAAACTGCAGCTCGGGAAACTGCAGCTCGGGAAACTGCAGCTCGGGAAACTGCAGCTCGGGAAACTGCAGCTCGGGAAACTGCAGCTCGGGAAACTGCAGCTCGGGAAACTGCAGCTCGGGAAACTGCAGCTCGGGAAACTGCAGCTCGGGAAACTGCAGCTCGGGAAACTGCAGCTCGGGAAACTGCAGCTCGGGAAACTGCAGCTCGGGAAACTGCAGCTCGGGAAACTGCAGCTCGGGAAACTGCAGCTCGGGAAACTGCAGCTCGGGAAACTGCAGCTCGGGAAACTGCAGCTCGGGAAACTGCAGCTCGGGAAACTGCAGCTCGGGAAACTGCAGCTCGGGAAACTGCAGCTCGGGAAACTGCAGCTCGGGAAACTGCAGCTCGGGAAACTGCAGCTCGGGAAACTGCAGCTCGGGAAACTGCAGCTCGGGAAACTGCAGCTCGGGAAACTGCAGCTCGGGAAACTGCAGCTCGGGAAACTGCAGCTCGGGAAACTGCAGCTCGGGAAACTGCAGCTCGGGAAACTGCAGCTCGGGAAACTGCAGCTCGGGAAACTGCAGCTCGGGAAACTGCAGCTCGGGAAACTGCAGCTCGGGAAACTGCAGCTCGGGAAACTGCAGCTCGGGAAACTGCAGCTCGGGAAACTGCAGCTCGGGAAACTGCAGCTCGGGAAACTGCAGCTCGGGAAACTGCAGCTCGGGAAACTGCAGCTCGGGAAACTGCAGCTCGGGAAACTGCAGCTCGGGAAACTGCAGCTCGGGAAACTGCAGCTCGGGAAACTGCAGCTCGGGAAACTGCAGCTCGGGAAACTGCAGCTCGGGAAACTGCAGCTCGGGAAACTGCAGCTCGGGAAACTGCAGCTCGGGAAACTGCAGCTCGGGAAACTGCAGCTCGGGAAACTGCAGCTCGGGAAACTGCAGCTCGGGAAACTGCAGCTCGGGAAACTGCAGCTCGGGAAACTGCAGCTCGGGAAACTGCAGCTCGGGAAACTGCAGCTCGGGAAACTGCAGCTCGGGAAACTGCAGCTCGGGAAACTGCAGCTCGGGAAACTGCAGCTCGGGAAACTGCAGCTCGGGAAACTGCAGCTCGGGAAACTGCAGCTCGGGAAACTGCAGCTCGGGAAACTGCAGCTCGGGAAACTGCAGCTCGGGAAACTGCAGCTCGGGAAACTGCAGCTCGGGAAACTGCAGCTCGGGAAACTGCAGCTCGGGAAACTGCAGCTCGGGAAACTGCAGCTCGGGAAACTGCAGCTCGGGAAACTGCAGCTCGGGAAACTGCAGCTCGGGAAACTGCAGCTCGGGAAACTGCAGCTCGGGAAACTGCAGCTCGGGAAACTGCAGCTCGGGAAACTGCAGCTCGGGAAACTGCAGCTCGGGAAACTGCAGCTCGGGAAACTGCAGCTCGGGAAACTGCAGCTCGGGAAACTGCAGCTCGGGAAACTGCAGCTCGGGAAACTGCAGCTCGGGAAACTGCAGCTCGGGAAACTGCAGCTCGGGAAACTGCAGCTCGGGAAACTGCAGCTCGGGAAACTGCAGCTCGGGAAACTGCAGCTCGGGAAACTGCAGCTCGGGAAACTGCAGCTCGGGAAACTGCAGCTCGGGAAACTGCAGCTCGGGAAACTGCAGCTCGGGAAACTGCAGCTCGGGAAACTGCAGCTCGGGAAACTGCAGCTCGGGAAACTGCAGCTCGGGAAACTGCAGCTCGGGAAACTGCAGCTCGGGAAACTGCAGCTCGGGAAACTGCAGCTCGGGAAACTGCAGCTCGGGAAACTGCAGCTCGGGAAACTGCAGCTCGGGAAACTGCAGCTCGGGAAACTGCAGCTCGGGAAACTGCAGCTCGGGAAACTGCAGCTCGGGAAACTGCAGCTCGGGAAACTGCAGCTCGGGAAACTGCAGCTCGGGAAACTGCAGCTCGGGAAACTGCAGCTCGGGAAACTGCAGCTCGGGAAACTGCAGCTCGGGAAACTGCAGCTCGGGAAACTGCAGCTCGGGAAACTGCAGCTCGGGAAACTGCAGCTCGGGAAACTGCAGCTCGGGAAACTGCAGCTCGGGAAACTGCAGCTCGGGAAACTGCAGCTCGGGAAACTGCAGCTCGGGAAACTGCAGCTCGGGAAACTGCAGCTCGGGAAACTGCAGCTCGGGAAACTGCAGCTCGGGAAACTGCAGCTCGGGAAACTGCAGCTCGGGAAACTGCAGCTCGGGAAACTGCAGCTCGGGAAACTGCAGCTCGGGAAACTGCAGCTCGGGAAACTGCAGCTCGGGAAACTGCAGCTCGGGAAACTGCAGCTCGGGAAACTGCAGCTCGGGAAACTGCAGCTCGGGAAACTGCAGCTCGGGAAACTGCAGCTCGGGAAACTGCAGCTCGGGAAACTGCAGCTCGGGAAACTGCAGCTCGGGAAACTGCAGCTCGGGAAACTGCAGCTCGGGAAACTGCAGCTCGGGAAACTGCAGCTCGGGAAACTGCAGCTCGGGAAACTGCAGCTCGGGAAACTGCAGCTCGGGAAACTGCAGCTCGGGAAACTGCAGCTCGGGAAACTGCAGCTCGGGAAACTGCAGCTCGGGAAACTGCAGCTCGGGAAACTGCAGCTCGGGAAACTGCAGCTCGGGAAACTGCAGCTCGGGAAACTGCAGCTCGGGAAACTGCAGCTCGGGAAACTGCAGCTCGGGAAACTGCAGCTCGGGAAACTGCAGCTCGGGAAACTGCAGCTCGGGAAACTGCAGCTCGGGAAACTGCAGCTCGGGAAACTGCAGCTCGGGAAACTGCAGCTCGGGAAACTGCAGCTCGGGAAACTGCAGCTCGGGAAACTGCAGCTCGGGAAACTGCAGCTCGGGAAACTGCAGCTCGGGAAACTGCAGCTCGGGAAACTGCAGCTCGGGAAACTGCAGCTCGGGAAACTGCAGCTCGGGAAACTGCAGCTCGGGAAACTGCAGCTCGGGAAACTGCAGCTCGGGAAACTGCAGCTCGGGAAACTGCAGCTCGGGAAACTGCAGCTCGGGAAACTGCAGCTCGGGAAACTGCAGCTCGGGAAACTGCAGCTCGGGAAACTGCAGCTCGGGAAACTGCAGCTCGGGAAACTGCAGCTCGGGAAACTGCAGCTCGGGAAACTGCAGCTCGGGAAACTGCAGCTCGGGAAACTGCAGCTCGGGAAACTGCAGCTCGGGAAACTGCAGCTCGGGAAACTGCAGCTCGGGAAACTGCAGCTCGGGAAACTGCAGCTCGGGAAACTGCAGCTCGGGAAACTGCAGCTCGGGAAACTGCAGCTCGGGAAACTGCAGCTCGGGAAACTGCAGCTCGGGAAACTGCAGCTCGGGAAACTGCAGCTCGGGAAACTGCAGCTCGGGAAACTGCAGCTCGGGAAACTGCAGCTCGGGAAACTGCAGCTCGGGAAACTGCAGCTCGGGAAACTGCAGCTCGGGAAACTGCAGCTCGGGAAACTGCAGCTCGGGAAACTGCAGCTCGGGAAACTGCAGCTCGGGAAACTGCAGCTCGGGAAACTGCAGCTCGGGAAACTGCAGCTCGGGAAACTGCAGCTCGGGAAACTGCAGCTCGGGAAGTGCAGCTCGGGAAACTGCAGCTCGGGAAACTGCAGCTCGGGAAACTGCAGCTCGGGAAACTGCAGCTCGGGAAACTGCAGCTCGGGAAACTGCAGCTCGGGAAACTGCAGCTCGGGAAACTGCAGCTCGGGAAACTGCAGCTCGGGAAACTGCAGCTCGGGAAACTGCAGCTCGGGAAACTGCAGCTCGGGAAACTGCAGCTCGGGAAACTGCAGCTCGGGAAACTGCAGCTCGGGAAACTGCAGCTCGGGAAACTGCAGCTCGGGAAACTGCAGCTCGGGAAACTGCAGCTCGGGAAACTGCAGCTCGGGAAACTGCAGCTCGGGAAACTGCAGCTCGGGAAACTGCAGCTCGGGAAACTGCAGCTCGGGAAACTGCAGCTCGGGAAACTGCAGCTCGGGAAACTGCAGCTCGGGAAACTGCAGCTCGGGAAACTGCAGCTCGGGAAACTGCAGCTCGGGAAACTGCAGCTCGGGAAACTGCAGCTCGGGAAACTGCAGCTCGGGAAACTGCAGCTCGGGAAACTGCAGCTCGGGAAACTGCAGCTCGGGAAACTGCAGCTCGGGAAACTGCAGCTCGGGAAACTGCAGCTCGGGAAACTGCAGCTCGGGAAACTGCAGCTCGGGAAACTGCAGCTCGGGAAACTGCAGCTCGGGAAACTGCAGCTCGGGAAACTGCAGCTCGGGAAACTGCAGCTCGGGAAACTGCAGCTCGGGAAACTGCAGCTCGGGAAACTGCAGCTCGGGAAACTGCAGCTCGGGAAACTGCAGCTCGGGAAACTGCAGCTCGGGAAACTGCAGCTCGGGAAACTGCAGCTCGGGAAACTGCAGCTCGGGAAACTGCAGCTCGGGAAACTGCAGCTCGGGAAACTGCAGCTCGGGAAACTGCAGCTCGGGAAACTGCAGCTCGGGAAACTGCAGCTCGGGAAACTGCAGCTCGGGAAACTGCAGCTCGGGAAACTGCAGCTCGGGAAACTGCAGCTCGGGAAACTGCAGCTCGGGAAACTGCAGCTCGGGAAACTGCAGCTCGGGAAACTGCAGCTCGGGAAACTGCAGCTCGGGAAACTGCAGCTCGGGAAACTGCAGCTCGGGAAACTGCAGCTCGGGAAACTGCAGCTCGGGAAACTGCAGCTCGGGAAACTGCAGCTCGGGAAACTGCAGCTCGGGAAACTGCAGCTCGGGAAACTGCAGCTCGGGAAACTGCAGCTCGGGAAACTGCAGCTCGGGAAACTGCAGCTCGGGAAACTGCAGCTCGGGAAACTGCAGCTCGGGAAACTGCAGCTCGGGAAACTGCAGCTCGGGAAACTGCAGCTCGGGAAACTGCAGCTCGGGAAACTGCAGCTCGGGAAACTGCAGCTCGGGAAACTGCAGCTCGGGAAACTGCAGCTCGGGAAACTGCAGCTCGGGAAACTGCAGCTCGGGAAACTGCAGCTCGGGAAACTGCAGCTCGGGAAACTGCAGCTCGGGAAACTGCAGCTCGGGAAACTGCAGCTCGGGAAACTGCAGCTCGGGAAACTGCAGCTCGGGAAACTGCAGCTCGGGAAACTGCAGCTCGGGAAACTGCAGCTCGGGAAACTGCAGCTCGGGAAACTGCAGCTCGGGAAACTGCAGCTCGGGAAACTGCAGCTCGGGAAACTGCAGCTCGGGAAACTGCAGCTCGGGAAACTGCAGCTCGGGAAACTGCAGCTCGGGAAACTGCAGCTCGGGAAACTGCAGCTCGGGAAACTGCAGCTCGGGAAACTGCAGCTCGGGAAACTGCAGCTCGGGAAACTGCAGCTCGGGAAACTGCAGCTCGGGAAACTGCAGCTCGGGAAACTGCAGCTCGGGAAACTGCAGCTCGGGAAACTGCAGCTCGGGAAACTGCAGCTCGGGAAACTGCAGCTCGGGAAACTGCAGCTCGGGAAACTGCAGCTCGGGAAACTGCAGCTCGGGAAACTGCAGCTCGGGAAACTGCAGCTCGGGAAACTGCAGCTCGGGAAACTGCAGCTCGGGAAACTGCAGCTCGGGAAACTGCAGCTCGGGAAACTGCAGCTCGGGAAACTGCAGCTCGGGAAACTGCAGCTCGGGAAACTGCAGCTCGGGAAACTGCAGCTCGGGAAACTGCAGCTCGGGAAACTGCAGCTCGGGAAACTGCAGCTCGGGAAACTGCAGCTCGGGAAACTGCAGCTCGGGAAACTGCAGCTCGGGAAACTGCAGCTCGGGAAACTGCAGCTCGGGAAACTGCAGCTCGGGAAACTGCAGCTCGGGAAACTGCAGCTCGGGAAACTGCAGCTCGGGAAACTGCAGCTCGGGAAACTGCAGCTCGGGAAACTGCAGCTCGGGAAACTGCAGCTCGGGAAACTGCAGCTCGGGAAACTGCAGCTCGGGAAACTGCAGCTCGGGAAACTGCAGCTCGGGAAACTGCAGCTCGGGAAACTGCAGCTCGGGAAACTGCAGCTCGGGAAACTGCAGCTCGGGAAACTGCAGCTCGGGAAACTGCAGCTCGGGAAACTGCAGCTCGGGAAACTGCAGCTCGGGAAACTGCAGCTCGGGAAACTGCAGCTCGGGAAACTGCAGCTCGGGAAACTGCAGCTCGGGAAACTGCAGCTCGGGAAACTGCAGCTCGGGAAACTGCAGCTCGGGAAACTGCAGCTCGGGAAACTGCAGCTCGGGAAACTGCAGCTCGGGAAACTGCAGCTCGGGAAACTGCAGCTCGGGAAACTGCAGCTCGGGAAACTGCAGCTCGGGAAACTGCAGCTCGGGAAACTGCAGCTCGGGAAACTGCAGCTCGGGAAACTGCAGCTCGGGAAACTGCAGCTCGGGAAACTGCAGCTCGGGAAACTGCAGCTCGGGAAACTGCAGCTCGGGAAACTGCAGCTCGGGAAACTGCAGCTCGGGAACTGCAGCTCGGGAAACTGCAGCTCGGGAAACTGCAGCTCGGGAAACTGCAGCTCGGGAAACTGCAGCTCGGGAAACTGCAGCTCGGGAAACTGCAGCTCGGGAAACTGCAGCTCGGGAAACTGCAGCTCGGGAAACTGCAGCTCGGGAAACTGCAGCTCGGGAAACTGCAGCTCGGGAAACTGCAGCTCGGGAAACTGCAGCTCGGGAAACTGCAGCTCGGGAAACTGCAGCTCGGGAAACTGCAGCTCGGGAAACTGCAGCTCGGGAAACTGCAGCTCGGGAAACTGCAGCTCGGGAAACTGCAGCTCGGGAAACTGCAGCTCGGGAAACTGCAGCTCGGGAAACTGCAGCTCGGGAAACTGCAGCTCGGGAAACTGCAGCTCGGGAAACTGCAGCTCGGGAAACTGCAGCTCGGGAAACTGCAGCTCGGGAAACTGCAGCTCGGGAAACTGCAGCTCGGGAAACTGCAGCTCGGGAAACTGCAGCTCGGGAAACTGCAGCTCGGGAAACTGCAGCTCGGGAAACTGCAGCTCGGGAAACTGCAGCTCGGGAAACTGCAGCTCGGGAAACTGCAGCTCGGGAAACTGCAGCTCGGGAAACTGCAGCTCGGGAAACTGCAGCTCGGGAAACTGCAGCTCGGGAAACTGCAGCTCGGGAAACTGCAGCTCGGGAAACTGCAGCTCGGGAAACTGCAGCTCGGGAAACTGCAGCTCGGGAAACTGCAGCTCGGGAAACTGCAGCTCGGGAAACTGCAGCTCGGGAAACTGCAGCTCGGGAAACTGCAGCTCGGGAAACTGCAGCTCGGGAAACTGCAGCTCGGGAAACTGCAGCTCGGGAAACTGCAGCTCGGGAAACTGCAGCTCGGGAAACTGCAGCTCGGGAAACTGCAGCTCGGGAAACTGCAGCTCGGGAAACTGCAGCTCGGGAAACTGCAGCTCGGGAAACTGCAGCTCGGGAAACTGCAGCTCGGGAAACTGCAGCTCGGGAAACTGCAGCTCGGGAAACTGCAGCTCGGGAAACTGCAGCTCGGGAAACTGCAGCTCGGGAAACTGCAGCTCGGGAAACTGCAGCTCGGGAAACTGCAGCTCGGGAAACTGCAGCTCGGGAAACTGCAGCTCGGGAAACTGCAGCTCGGGAAACTGCAGCTCGGGAAACTGCAGCTCGGGAAACTGCAGCTCGGGAAACTGCAGCTCGGGAAACTGCAGCTCGGGAAACTGCAGCTCGGGAAACTGCAGCTCGGGAAACTGCAGCTCGGGAAACTGCAGCTCGGGAAACTGCAGCTCGGGAAACTGCAGCTCGGGAAACTGCAGCTCGGGAAACTGCAGCTCGGGAAACTGCAGCTCGGGAAACTGCAGCTCGGGAAACTGCAGCTCGGGAAACTGCAGCTCGGGAAACTGCAGCTCGGGAAACTGCAGCTCGGGAAACTGCAGCTCGGGAAACTGCAGCTCGGGAAACTGCAGCTCGGGAAACTGCAGCTCGGGAAACTGCAGCTCGGGAAACTGCAGCTCGGGAAACTGCAGCTCGGGAAACTGCAGCTCGGGAAACTGCAGCTCGGGAAACTGCAGCTCGGGAAACTGCAGCTCGGGAAACTGCAGCTCGGGAAACTGCAGCTCGGGAAACTGCAGCTCGGGAAACTGCAGCTCGGGAAACTGCAGCTCGGGAAACTGCAGCTCGGGAAACTGCAGCTCGGGAAACTGCAGCTCGGGAAACTGCAGCTCGGGAAACTGCAGCTCGGGAAACTGCAGCTCGGGAAACTGCAGCTCGGGAAACTGCAGCTCGGGAAACTGCAGCTCGGGAAACTGCAGCTCGGGAAACTGCAGCTCGGGAAACTGCAGCTCGGGAAACTGCAGCTCGGGAAACTGCAGCTCGGGAAACTGCAGCTCGGGAAACTGCAGCTCGGGAAACTGCAGCTCGGGAAACTGCAGCTCGGGAAACTGCAGCTCGGGAAACTGCAGCTCGGGAAACTGCAGCTCGGGAAACTGCAGCTCGGGAAACTGCAGCTCGGGAAACTGCAGCTCGGGAAACTGCAGCTCGGGAAACTGCAGCTCGGGAAACTGCAGCTCGGGAAACTGCAGCTCGGGAAACTGCAGCTCGGGAAACTGCAGCTCGGGAAACTGCAGCTCGGGAAACTGCAGCTCGGGAAACTGCAGCTCGGGAAACTGCAGCTCGGGAAACTGCAGCTCGGGAAACTGCAGCTCGGAAAGTGCAGCTCGGGAAGTGCAGCTCGGGAAACTGCAGCTCGGGAAACTGCAGCTCGGGAAACTGCAGCTCGGGAAACTGCAGCTCGGGAAACTGCAGCTCGGGAAACTGCAGCTCGGGAAACTGCAGCTCGGGAAACTGCAGCTCGGGAAACTGCAGCTCGGGAAACTGCAGCTCGGGAAACTGCAGCTCGGGAAACTGCAGCTCGGGAAACTGCAGCTCGGGAAACTGCAGCTCGGGAAACTGCAGCTCGGGAAACTGCAGCTCGGGAAACTGCAGCTCGGGAAACTGCAGCTCGGGAAACTGCAGCTCGGGAAACTGCAGCTCGGGAAACTGCAGCTCGGGAAACTGCAGCTCGGGAAACTGCAGCTCGGGAAACTGCAGCTCGGGAAACTGCAGCTCGGGAAACTGCAGCTCGGGAAACTGCAGCTCGGGAAACTGCAGCTCGGGAAACTGCAGCTCGGGAAACTGCAGCTCGGGAAACTGCAGCTCGGGAAACTGCAGCTCGGGAAACTGCAGCTCGGGAAACTGCAGCTCGGGAAACTGCAGCTCGGGAAACTGCAGCTCGGGAAACTGCAGCTCGGGAAACTGCAGCTCGGGAAACTGCAGCTCGGGAAACTGCAGCTCGGGAAACTGCAGCTCGGGAAACTGCAGCTCGGGAAACTGCAGCTCGGGAAACTGCAGCTCGGGAAACTGCAGCTCGGGAAACTGCAGCTCGGGAAACTGCAGCTCGGGAAACTGCAGCTCGGGAAACTGCAGCTCGGGAAACTGCAGCTCGGGAAACTGCAGCTCGGGAAACTGCAGCTCGGGAAACTGCAGCTCGGGAAACTGCAGCTCGGGAAACTGCAGCTCGGGAAACTGCAGCTCGGGAAACTGCAGCTCGGGAAACTGCAGCTCGGGAAACTGCAGCTCGGGAAACTGCAGCTCGGGAAACTGCAGCTCGGGAAACTGCAGCTCGGGAAACTGCAGCTCGGGAAACTGCAGCTCGGGAAACTGCAGCTCGGGAAACTGCAGCTCGGGAAACTGCAGCTCGGGAAACTGCAGCTCGGGAAACTGCAGCTCGGGAAACTGCAGCTCGGGAAACTGCAGCTCGGGAAACTGCAGCTCGGGAAACTGCAGCTCGGGAAACTGCAGCTCGGGAAACTGCAGCTCGGGAAACTGCAGCTCGGGAAACTGCAGCTCGGGAAACTGCAGCTCGGGAAACTGCAGCTCGGGAAACTGCAGCTCGGGAAACTGCAGCTCGGGAAACTGCAGCTCGGGAAACTGCAGCTCGGGAAACTGCAGCTCGGGAAACTGCAGCTCGGGAAACTGCAGCTCGGGAAACTGCAGCTCGGGAAACTGCAGCTCGGGAAACTGCAGCTCGGGAAACTGCAGCTCGGGAAACTGCAGCTCGGGAAACTGCAGCTCGGGAAACTGCAGCTCGGGAAACTGCAGCTCGGGAAACTGCAGCTCGGGAAACTGCAGCTCGGGAAACTGCAGCTCGGGAAACTGCAGCTCGGGAAACTGCAGCTCGGGAAACTGCAGCTCGGGAAACTGCAGCTCGGGAAACTGCAGCTCGGGAAACTGCAGCTCGGGAAACTGCAGCTCGGGAAACTGCAGCTCGGGAAACTGCAGCTCGGGAAACTGCAGCTCGGGAAACTGCAGCTCGGGAAACTGCAGCTCGGGAAACTGCAGCTCGGGAAACTGCAGCTCGGGAAACTGCAGCTCGGGAAACTGCAGCTCGGGAAACTGCAGCTCGGGAAACTGCAGCTCGGGAAACTGCAGCTCGGGAAACTGCAGCTCGGGAAACTGCAGCTCGGGAAACTGCAGCTCGGGAAACTGCAGCTCGGGAAACTGCAGCTCGGGAAACTGCAGCTCGGGAAACTGCAGCTCGGGAAACTGCAGCTCGGGAAACTGCAGCTCGGGAAACTGCAGCTCGGGAAACTGCAGCTCGGGAAACTGCAGCTCGGGAAACTGCAGCTCGGGAAACTGCAGCTCGGGAAACTGCAGCTCGGGAAACTGCAGCTCGGGAAACTGCAGCTCGGGAAACTGCAGCTCGGGAAACTGCAGCTCGGGAAACTGCAGCTCGGGAAACTGCAGCTCGGGAAACTGCAGCTCGGGAAACTGCAGCTCGGGAAACTGCAGCTCGGGAAACTGCAGCTCGGGAAACTGCAGCTCGGGAAACTGCAGCTCGGGAAACTGCAGCTCGGGAAACTGCAGCTCGGGAAACTGCAGCTCGGGAAACTGCAGCTCGGGAAACTGCAGCTCGGGAAACTGCAGCTCGGGAAACTGCAGCTCGGGAAACTGCAGCTCGGGAAACTGCAGCTCGGGAAACTGCAGCTCGGGAAACTGCAGCTCGGGAAACTGCAGCTCGGGAAACTGCAGCTCGGGAAACTGCAGCTCGGGAAACTGCAGCTCGGGAAACTGCAGCTCGGGAAACTGCAGCTCGGGAAACTGCAGCTCGGGAAACTGCAGCTCGGGAAACTGCAGCTCGGGAAACTGCAGCTCGGGAAACTGCAGCTCGGGAAACTGCAGCTCGGGAAACTGCAGCTCGGGAAACTGCAGCTCGGGAAACTGCAGCTCGGGAAACTGCAGCTCGGGAAACTGCAGCTCGGGAAACTGCAGCTCGGGAAACTGCAGCTCGGGAAACTGCAGCTCGGGAAACTGCAGCTCGGGAAACTGCAGCTCGGGAAACTGCAGCTCGGGAAACTGCAGCTCGGGAAACTGCAGCTCGGGAAACTGCAGCTCGGGAAACTGCAGCTCGGGAAACTGCAGCTCGGGAAACTGCAGCTCGGGAAACTGCAGCTCGGGAAACTGCAGCTCGGGAAACTGCAGCTCGGGAAACTGCAGCTCGGGAAACTGCAGCTCGGGAAACTGCAGCTCGGGAAACTGCAGCTCGGGAAACTGCAGCTCGGGAAACTGCAGCTCGGGAAACTGCAGCTCGGGAAACTGCAGCTCGGGAAACTGCAGCTCGGGAAACTGCAGCTCGGGAAACTGCAGCTCGGGAAACTGCAGCTCGGGAAACTGCAGCTCGGGAAACTGCAGCTCGGGAAACTGCAGCTCGGGAAACTGCAGCTCGGGAAACTGCAGCTCGGGAAACTGCAGCTCGGGAAACTGCAGCTCGGGAAACTGCAGCTCGGGAAACTGCAGCTCGGGAAACTGCAGCTCGGGAAACTGCAGCTCGGGAAACTGCAGCTCGGGAAACTGCAGCTCGGGAAACTGCAGCTCGGGAAACTGCAGCTCGGGAAACTGCAGCTCGGGAAACTGCAGCTCGGGAAACTGCAGCTCGGGAAACTGCAGCTCGGGAAACTGCAGCTCGGGAAACTGCAGCTCGGGAAACTGCAGCTCGGGAAACTGCAGCTCGGGAAACTGCAGCTCGGGAAACTGCAGCTCGGGAAACTGCAGCTCGGGAAACTGCAGCTCGGGAAACTGCAGCTCGGGAAACTGCAGCTCGGGAAACTGCAGCTCGGGAAACTGCAGCTCGGGAAACTGCAGCTCGGGAAACTGCAGCTCGGGAAACTGCAGCTCGGGAAACTGCAGCTCGGGAAACTGCAGCTCGGGAAACTGCAGCTCGGGAAACTGCAGCTCGGGAAACTGCAGCTCGGGAAACTGCAGCTCGGGAAACTGCAGCTCGGGAAACTGCAGCTCGGGAAACTGCAGCTCGGGAAACTGCAGCTCGGGAAACTGCAGCTCGGGAAACTGCAGCTCGGGAAACTGCAGCTCGGGAAACTGCAGCTCGGGAAACTGCAGCTCGGGAAACTGCAGCTCGGGAAACTGCAGCTCGGGAAACTGCAGCTCGGGAAACTGCAGCTCGGGAAACTGCAGCTCGGGAAACTGCAGCTCGGGAAACTGCAGCTCGGGAAACTGCAGCTCGGGAAACTGCAGCTCGGGAAACTGCAGCTCGGGAAACTGCAGCTCGGGAAACTGCAGCTCGGGAAACTGCAGCTCGGGAAACTGCAGCTCGGGAAACTGCAGCTCGGGAAACTGCAGCTCGGGAAACTGCAGCTCGGGAAACTGCAGCTCGGGAAACTGCAGCTCGGGAAACTGCAGCTCGGGAAACTGCAGCTCGGGAAACTGCAGCTCGGGAAACTGCAGCTCGGGAAACTGCAGCTCGGGAAACTGCAGCTCGGGAAACTGCAGCTCGGGAAACTGCAGCTCGGGAAACTGCAGCTCGGGAAACTGCAGCTCGGGAAACTGCAGCTCGGGAAACTGCAGCTCGGGAAACTGCAGCTCGGGAAACTGCAGCTCGGGAAACTGCAGCTCGGGAAACTGCAGCTCGGGAAACTGCAGCTCGGGAAACTGCAGCTCGGGAAACTGCAGCTCGGGAAACTGCAGCTCGGGAAACTGCAGCTCGGGAAACTGCAGCTCGGGAAACTGCAGCTCGGGAAACTGCAGCTCGGGAAACTGCAGCTCGGGAAACTGCAGCTCGGGAAACTGCAGCTCGGGAAACTGCAGCTCGGGAAACTGCAGCTCGGGAAACTGCAGCTCGGGAAACTGCAGCTCGGGAAACTGCAGCTCGGGAAACTGCAGCTCGGGAAACTGCAGCTCGGGAAACTGCAGCTCGGGAAACTGCAGCTCGGGAAACTGCAGCTCGGGAAACTGCAGCTCGGGAAACTGCAGCTCGGGAAACTGCAGCTCGGGAAACTGCAGCTCGGGAAACTGCAGCTCGGGAAACTGCAGCTCGGGAAACTGCAGCTCGGGAAACTGCAGCTCGGGAAACTGCAGCTCGGGAAACTGCAGCTCGGGAAACTGCAGCTCAGAAACTGCAGCTCGGAAACTGCAGCTCGGGAAACTGCAGCTCGGGAAACTGCAGCTCGGGAAACTGCAGCTCGGGAAACTGCAGCTCGGGAAACTGCAGCTCGGGAAACTGCAGCTCGGGAAACTGCAGCTCGGGAAACTGCAGCTCGGGAAACTGCAGCTCGGGAAACTGCAGCTCGGGAAACTGCAGCTCGGGAAACTGCAGCTCGGGAAACTGCAGCTCGGGAAACTGCAGCTCGGGAAACTGCAGCTCGGGAAACTGCAGCTCGGGAAACTGCAGCTCGGGAAACTGCAGCTCGGGAAACTGCAGCTAGAAACTGCAGTTGGAAACTGCAGCTAGAAACTGCAGTTGGAAACTGCAGCTCGGGAAACTGCAGCTAGAAACTGCAGTTGGAAACTGCAGCTAGAAACTGCAGTTGGAAACTGCAGCTCGGGAAACTGCAGCTCGGGAAACTGCAGCTCGGGAAACTGCAGCTCGGGAAACTGCAGCTCGGGAAACTGCAGCTCGGGAAACTGCAGCTCGGGAAACTGCAGCTCGGGAAACTGCAGCTCGGGAAACTGCAGCTCGGGAAACTGCAGCTCGGGAAACTGCAGCTCGGGAAACTGCAGCTCGGGAAACTGCAGCTCGGGAAACTGCAGCTCGGGAAACTGCAGCTCGGGAAACTGCAGCTCGGGAAACTGCAGCTCGGGAAACTGCAGCTCGGGAAACTGCAGCTCGGGAAACTGCAGCTCGGGAAACTGCAGCTCGGGAAACTGCAGCTCGGGAAACTGCAGCTCGGGAAACTGCAGCTATAAACTGCAGCTCGGGAAACTGCAGCTCGGGAAACTGCAGCTCGGGAAACTGCAGCTCGGGAAACTGCAGCTCGGGAAACTGCAGCTCGGGAAACTGCAGCTCGGGAAACTGCAGCTCGGGAAACTGCAGCTCGGGAAACTGCAGCTCGGGAAACTGCAGCTCGGGAAACTGCAGCTCGGGAAACTGCAGCTCGGGAAACTGCAGCTCGGGAAACTGCAGCTCGGGAAACTGCAGCTCGGGAAACTGCAGCTCGGGAAACTGCAGCTCGGGAAACTGCAGCTAGAAACTGCAGTTGGAAACTGCAGCTAGAAACTGCAGCTTGGAAACTGCAGCTCGGGAAACTGCAGCTAGAAACTGCAGTTGGAAACTGCAGCTAGAAACTGCAATTGGAAACTGCAGCTCGGGAAACTGCAGCTCGGGAAACTGCAGCTCGGGAAACTGCAGCTAGAAACTGCAGTTGGAAACTGCAGCTAGAAACTGCAGTTGGAAACTGCAGCTAGAAACTGCAGTTGGAAACTGCAGCTCGGGAAACTGCAGCTCGGGAAACTGCAGCTCGGGAAACTGCAGCTAGAAACTGCAGTTGGAAACTGCAGCTAGAAACTGCAGTTGGAAACTGCAGCTAGAAACTGCAGTTGGAAACTGCAGCTCGGGAAACTGCAGCTCGGGAAACTGCAGCTCGGGAAACTGCAGCTCGGGAAACTGCAGCTCGGGAAACTGCAGCTAGAAACTGCAGTTGGAAACTGCAGCTAGAAACTGCAGTTGGAAACTGCAGCTAGAAACTGCAGTTGGAAACTGCAGCTCGGGAAACTGCAGCTCGGGAAACTGCAGCTCGGGAAACTGCAGCTAGAAACTGCAGTTGGAAACTGCAGCTAGAAACTGCAGTTGGAAACTGCAGCTAGAAACTGCAGTTGGAAACTGCAGCTCGGGAAACTGCAGCTCGGGAAACTGCAGCTCGGGAAACTGCAGCTCGGGAAACTGCAGCTCGGGAAACTGCAGCTCGGGAAACTGCAGCTCGGGAAACTGCAGCTCGGGAAACTGCAGCTCGGGAAACTGCAGCTCGGGAAACTGCAGCTCGGGAAACTGCAGCTCGGGAAACTGCAGCTCGGGAAACTGCAGCTCGGGAAACTGCAGCTCGGGAAACTGCAGCTCGGGAAACTGCAGCTCGGGAAACTGCAGCTCGGGAAACTGCAGCTCGGGAAACTGCAGCTCGGGAAACTGCAGCTCGGGAAACTGCAGCTCGGGAAACTGCAGCTCGGGAAACTGCAGCTCGGGAAACTGCAGCTCGGGAAACTGCAGCTCGGGAAACTGCAGCTCGGGAAACTGCAGCTCGGGAAACTGCAGCTCGGGAAACTGCAGCTCGGGAAACTGCAGCTCGGGAAACTGCAGCTCGGGAAACTGCAGCTCGGGAAACTGCAGCTCGGGAAACTGCAGCTCGGGAAACTGCAGCTCGGGAAACTGCAGCTCGGGAAACTGCAGCTCGGGAAACTGCAGCTCGGGAAACTGCAGCTCGGGAAACTGCAGCTCGGGAAACTGCAGCTCGGGAAACTGCAGCTCGGGAAACTGCAGCTCGGGAAACTGCAGCTCGGGAAACTGCAGCTCGGGAAACTGCAGCTAGAAACTGCAGTTGGAAACTGCAGCTCGGGAAACTGCAGCTAGAAACTGCAGTTGGAAACTGCAGCTAGAAACTGCAGTTGGAAACTGCAGCTAAACTGCAGCTTAGAAACTGCAGCTCGGGAAACTGCAGCTAGAAACTGCAGTTGGAAACTGCAGCTAGAAACTGCAGTTGGAAACTGCAGAGCTGCAGTTGGAAACTGCAGCTAGAAACTGCAGTTGGAAACTGCAGATAGAATCTGCAGTTGGAAACTGCAGCTAGAAACTGCAGCTCGGGAAACTGGAGCTGGGGGAAAGAGGAGGAGGAGGAAGAAGAAAGGCACGGGAGAAGGGGATGGAAAATGGGTGGGGAGAAGGGGACGGAAATGGGTGGGGAGAAGGGGACGGAAATGGGTGGGGAGAAGGGGATGGAAAATGGGTGGGGAGAAGGGAACGGAAAATGGGTGGGGAGAAGGGAGGGAGAGGCTCAAAGGAGGGGGTGTTGCATGCAGTGGTGCAGCAAGTGAGCATGTGCAGTGCAGGAAGAAGCAAACGGGCATGGACGCAAGCTACCGGCGATGTGGGTGCGAGTGAGTACGGCACAGCAACCCACCAATGATGTGGATGTGGCGGTTGACGAGTGCGAGGATGGCCATGAGGTCCGCGGCGTGCAGGAACTGCAGCAGCAGGTCGAACGAGTACTGCCCTCCCATAGTGCCATGCCATGGGGGTGGGGTGCGGTGGGGGTGGGTTGGGTTGGGGTGGGGTGGGGTGGGGTGGCATGGCATGGGGCATGAGATGGCCATGAGGTCAACGGCGTGCAGGAACTGCAGCAGCACGTCGAATGAGTACTGCCCTCCCATAGTGTCATGCCATGGGGGTGGGGTGCGGTGGGGAGGGGTGGGGTGGAGTGGGGCGGGGGGAATGGCATGCGGCATGGGGAAGGGCATGTGAGGAGAGGCGGGGCGCGCACAGCAAGGGGGAGCAGCGACGTTGATGACAGCGGAACGAGGAGCGAGCAGAGACGAGCATGCGCGTGGCCTGGGAGTACCTACCTGGTCATGGGGAACCTACCTGGCACATGCGGATGACGGCCTTGTTCTCGCGGAAGGCGCGCGCCAGTGCGCTCTCCTGGGCGTGCTGCGCGGAGCTGATGCCCGCGAGCTGCGCGAGGTCGCTGGCGTGCAGGCGCGCGTGGTCCGCGCCGTGCGCCTCCATCAGCGCGCGTGCCGCCTCGGGGTGGTCCTGTGCGACGAGCTCGAGGAAGGCGTGGACGAAGACTGGGTACAGCACTCGCAGTAACTCGTTCTGGGGGGGGGGGGATGGGGGGTGGGGGAATCGTGGGGGAGGGGTGGGGAGGGAGGGGGGGAATGGAGGGATGGAGGGCGGTGTGGTACTGTGCGACGAGCTCGAGGAAGGCGTGCACGAACACCGGGTACAACACGCGCAGTAGCTCGTTCTGGGGGGGATGGGATGGTGGGGGAGAGATATTAAAGAAGCCTTAGAAGTGGGAGGGGCAAATGCAGGAAAAGAAGCAAGAATGTAAAAGATTCTCTCGAAGGAGTGGATGTGACGAGGCGAGGCGAGGCGAGGCGAGGCGAGGCGAGGGGGTCAGTGGGAAAGTACCTTATAGAGGTCCAGGGACGAATGCACCCACGCGCGAAGCTTCCGATAGCCTTCCACATAGCATGCTGGAGCCTTCTCGGACCTGGGAACGACAACCTCGGAAAGGAAACGTGGCTCTTCAGCAGCAGTCAAAGCCATGAATTTGGAGCCTCTGCGTGACTACACTTTTCTCGACGTTAACGGAAACAACGGTTCGAAAGTGGTCATGGTTAGGGTTAGGGTGCGTTATGGCTTCCCACCTGCTGTAAAGCATAATCTGATTGGCTAGATTCTTGTCCAGCTCAGCAGCTGCGGCCTTCCCGCCAACCGTAACGAGCGCATCGAGCGACTGGGTCTTAGAGTCGTCTTTAAACGCCAGCTCAGCATTTTTGTAGCCCTTGCGACGCAGATACGCCAGCACGGCTCTCTCTATCGCCTCCTCCTCCATGGCGATCGACACGGCTTTAAGAGCCTTGTTAGACTACGCGAAAGACTATTAAATAGCGGTAAAGTACGAAGGCGGATGATATTGAAGCTGATTTGCGATAACTGACAAGCGGTATTCAAAACCCGCGGGCCAAGAACTTCAACATTAGGAAGCTTGGTTGGAGCGAGCAACACAATTGGCCAAGATTTTGGGTGCAAGGGCCAAACTCAACCAAGGCTAGGAAGGTTGAGGCAATTTGGGCCTTCTTGGCCCTCCGGTTTTGAGCGGACCTGACGAGGCGCCAGCACGAATCACTTGAAAAAAGACATGGAAATATTTATGGACAGAAAAAACCGCGGGAATGAAGTAGTTGTGAGGGAGTGATCCGAGACAGCGATGAAGTCATGAGGTGCATACAAAATTTGCGTACCCACTACCAATAATAAAAACTCAACGGATTTATTATCCGTTTCTTTCTTCTTCCTCCTCTTTTTCAAGCCTTTTATCCAAATCCTCTATGCATACTTCTAGGGTCTTCCGCGCATCTGAAATTGAAGTTCTAACCTTCCCTTCCACCCTCGCAACCGTCCCCTTTGCCGCATCCCACACGTTCTCTCGCGCCATTGCACGCACGTCAGGATGCCACGTCATGACCGCCTCATTTACAACTGCTCCCAGGTCCTCAAGAGCCACGTGGGTATCCATCAGCAGCCCTTGCAATTCTGTAAAGACACGAGGGGCAAGCACATGGTATGGAACAGCAACAGCCTCTCCATCCCTTGCTTCCTCATTCGTGCCTGTGACATTGCCTGGCTCTACTTGTGCTGACGTGTTGCAACTGGGCTGTTGCTGACGTGGAACCTCCTGCTGACGTGGCAGTGGAGTGCTGTTGAGAGGAGGCGCGGGAGGGTCCGCACCAGCAGCAGCACCTGCGTCATTCCCATGAGCGGTCGCAGCACGAGAGGGAGACGGATCACCACCTCTTCTCTCTGCCTCTGCAACCAGGCCCTGTGGGGAGCAGCCAGGGATATCGCGGCCACCTTCAGCCTGCTGTTCCTGAGGCACAGGCGCGTCCGCGCATGGCATAGAATGATGGGGTGGGCATGGCATGGGGTTGTCAGTTGAGCCCGGCACGGGGTTGAGAGGACATGGGCAGCTCCTTGCCACATCTGCTCCCCTTCCCTCGCCTCCCCCAGATGCACTGCTCCTTTGCCTCACCTCCTGCCTCTCCCCTTTGTCCCCTCTCTTGCTGCCTCGCTGCAGCAACTGCTCACATGCCCTTGCATCGGATGCCTGCTCTCCTGACGTTTTCTCCCCCCATCTCACCTTCTCTCCCCCATGCTGCCCCCCATGCTCCCCTCCCTGCTGCACCTGTACCAAGAACCCTCGAGCATCCCATCCCTCGCAACCGCCACAATCCCCTGCCTCCCTCCCTCGTTGTCTCTGCTCCCATGCCACCCATCGCTGCCATCCCCAGTGTGCCCTACCCGCGCCCCTCCCAGCCCCTCTTCCTCTGGTGCTGTTAATGCTGGTGCTGATGGTGCTTCTGCTGTTGTTGTTGCTGGTGCTGGTGTTTTTGCTGTTGCTATTGCTCTTGCTCTTCCTGCTGAGGGTGCTGCTGCTGTTGCTGGTGGTGTTAATGTTGATGCTTCTGCTGTTGCTGCTGCTGTTGTTGTTACTGGTGCTGGTGCTGGTGCTGGTGCTGCTGCTGCTGCTGGTGCTGCTGCTATTAATGATGCTTCTGCTGCTGCTATTGCTGTTGCTGTTGCTGTTGAGGGTGTTGGTGCTTCTGCTGTCGCTGTTGCCTTCCCTGCTGATGGTGCTGCTGCTGTTGCTGCTGGTGCTAAAGCTGATGCTTCTGCTGTTGCTCTTGCTGTTGCTGAGGCCGCTGGTGGTGGCGGTGCTGGTGCTGATGGTGCTTCGGCTGGTGCTGCTGCTGCAGCTGCTGCTGGTGGTACTGGAGATGGTGCTATGGCTGCTGCTGCTGCTAGTGCTGCTGCTGGTGGTGTCGATGGTGCCTCTCCTGCTGCTCCTACTGCAGCGTGGCGACCAGCTGCAGATGCTGATGCTGCAGGCGCTTCTAGTGGCGCCCGTGCCGCTGGTGCCGCGGGTACAGCGGGCGATGCTGGAGGCAGCGGCTCACAGAGAGGGGCTGCGACGGACCCGCGCACGCTGCCACGGAGGTGCGGGGAGGCATGCATGTGCGTGGATGCATGCATGTGCGGAGACGCATGCATGTGGGGAGAGGCATGCATGTGCGGGGAGGCATGCATGTGCGGGGAGGCATGCATGTGCGGAGAGTCATGCATGTGCGAAGAGGCACGGAGGTGCGGAGAGTCACGGACTTGGGGGGGTAGCTGACAGGGCGCAGGATGAAAAAGTGCAGGCGCATGCGTGCACAGGGGTATGCGCACATAAGCTCGTGCGCTCTCATACCCGCCGCCTTGCATCGCCACCTCCACCATCTCTTGCTTCACCTCCTCCCTCGCCCTCTCGTTTCCTCCGCCTTGCGCGTATGTATCGCGCGCGCCACAGCCATCCCGCGCGCTACCACCCCCCCGCGCAGTCTCCTCGCTCCCCGCCAATCCCCCGCTCGCCTGCCCCTCCGTCACAGCCTCTGCCTCCTTTCCCCGCTCCTCGCATCCATGTCCTTTTTTCCCCGCGTCCCCTTGCCCACCCTTCGCCCCTCCCGCCTCTCCCCCGCCCTCCTCCATAATCGTGCCTGATTCCGCTGCGCCTCGCACCCGTTTCGTCGTGCTCTGCGTCGGATACCATATCTGCCTGACGCTACCGAAAAAAAAATCCGCAGCGCTCTCATCCTCGGCATTCCCTGAGTCTACACTCGCCTGTCCGCTGCAGTCAACATCCACCCTCTCCGGGGGTCCCCGCTTCCGCGTGTGCGGAAAAGGTTCCCCGCGACCATGATCCAGTTCCTCCGCGGTTGCATCTCCGGGCATCTGGAAAGAAATACGCCGAGACGGTGATATTACTCGTGACGAACTGTTATCTAGGTTAGTCGGACCGCGTGCTAATGATTCTGGGATCAGCGAATTGAGCAATGAAGGCGGCAATATCGAGAGGAAGCGTGAAGACATCGAGAAGATGCACAAATGTCTCAAGCGCAAATGCGGTGGAGTGCGATGCTGTGCGTGGCAGAGTGGCTCCGCATCAGAGTTCGATAGAGTTTCGAGAAGCTTATCAGCCGCGTTCATTTGTAATCAGGGTAAGGTACACCTCATAGGCTGGCTCTTACAACGAAAAAAAAACAATTGCAGAGACAGATTTCACATTCTAATTCACGAAGACTTGTTAGGAGTGTGCTTCTTTGCAGCTGCCCGCCTCTTGAAATAGCTGGGCACGAGCAGCGGCAGGCACTCATTGCACCCGTGCACGCGCGGAATGCGTCCGGCAAGCATTTCCGAGCCAGGAGGCAAGGGCGGCCCCACTCCATCAGGTAAAGCCAGGGCTTCTCTTGCATTCTCCTGGTCTAGTTCGACTCCACACCCCAGGCAGCGCAGGGGGTCCGTGGCGTCAGGCAGGAAGGGGAGGAGAGATGACGTGGCAGCGAAGGGAGGGGGAGGTGCGGACAAGGGCAGGAAGGTTTGGCATTGGAGAGGTTGGATTGGATTGGAGGGTGGGAAGGGAATGGTGGCAGGGAGAGTGATGGAGGGGAGGGTGGAGGAGGAAAGACTTCTCTTGGAGCCGGCATAGAGCATGCCACCCCGTGCTGCTTCACTGTGGAGAGCTGCGGATAAAGGGGGGGGAAATGGTCCCTTGAGATGGTCTGTTGACCCCTTTGACCCCGTTGACCCCCTTGACCCTCTTGACCGAGCAAAGGGCCCTGCCGCTCCTGCGCTGCCGCTGCTGCTGCTGCTGGGCGGCGGGCCCAGCGCTAATGGCTCCTCTGGGCGTGATGCAGAGGGGAGGCGACGAGGGCGTCAGGGGAGGCGTGAGGAAGCGGAATGGGATGGCAGGTGATGGGATGGCAGGCGAAAGGAAGGGCGCTGGGATGGTGGGGGGCGGGAAAGGCACGTGGTGCCCTGCCAGGGTGCTGCTGCTGAAGGGCGACATTGCGGGGAAGAGCGTGCGGGCAGACAGTGCACCAGCAGCGGCGGCGGCGGTAGCGGCTGCGGCAGGTGCAGCTGCGGGTGCGGGAGGGGCCGGGTTTGGGTGAAAGGAGGCGAGGGAGCTAGGGATGAGGGGGAGAGGGTCTTCAAGGGAGTGGATGGTGGGGAGGGTGAGGGGGAGACGGGGTGAGGCATGGAGCAGGCTGGGTTGCAAGGTGAAATCGCGCACTGAGGGAGTGCCGGACACGGTGTGGCGGCGGGCAAATAGCTGCTGCACCTCTGGCGACACAGCAGGCAGGGCGGAGCGCTCTTGATTCGCTGCAAACCGCCGCGCCAGCAGCTCGTGCGTGGCTGGGGCACTGCCCGGCAGGTGGGCGGCAGTGAACGTGGTGGTGCGGGTGGGGACCCAAGGGTCAAAGATCGCTCCTCCAGCGCGCCCTGCACACGCTGCTGCTGCTGCAGTCACCACGACTGGCTTTCCGTCCCCTCCACTAGCAGCCACGCCCCCTGCCGCCCCTGCTGGAGTCCCCCCTGCCGCCCCTGCTGGGGTCCCCCATGCTGCTGCTGCTGCTGCTGCTGCTGCGCGCTGCTGCCTCACCTCCAGCACGCTCTGCCTGCCCGTGCCACCGCCTCCCGAGCCCGGGTACTCCTCCGCACTGCGCGCCGTTGCCCTAGCCGCAGCAGCAGCGCCATGCGCGCCATCAACACACACCGCTGCATGGCTATGCTCATGGGCCAGTCCCCCCTCCATCGCCGCTTCCCTCCCCCGCTCTTCCGCCGCGCCACCCCCCTCCGCTTGCCCCTCCGAGCCCCCGGGCAGTGCTGGGTCTACTGCTCCCCCGTCCCCTTCCCCAGTGCCCCCCTGCGCGCTCGTCTGACCGCTGGAGGCACCACACATCGTGCATTCCCCCCCTGCTTCCGCTCCCCCTTCCCCGCCCCGCCGCACCTCCACGCCTTGCCCGCCACTCTCCTGCATCTCCTCCTCCCCTTCCCCCTCCCCTTCCCCCTCCCCCTCCTCCTCCCCCCAGCCTGCTCGGAGCGCCTCCATGCGGAAGGCCTCCGCCAATGAGACGGCTTCTTGGCTGGCGGAAGGAGCGCCAGCTGCGGGCAGCACGGGCGGGTGGAGCGGCTTGGCGCGCTTGGGGCGAGAGGGGAAGTCGAGGGCGGGCAGGAACTGAGCATCCATTTCGCCGTCGGGCACGGCGGCGGACATGGAGGCGGGCACGGCGGTGGGCATCGCAGCGGGCATGGCGGCGGGCAGGGCGGAGGCGGGCACGGCTGCCATAATGGCGTCAGTCGCTCGCGCAGCGGAAGAGGGTGCAGCGGAAAGGCGGGTACTGGGGGAGGTTGAGGATGGGAGGGTGGAAGCAAGGGGCGGGGCGGGAGGCAGAGCGCGGTTGACGGCGTGAGCTGCGGCCATGGCGGTGAGGCGCGCCATGGCCGCGTCGTGCTCGAGGCGGTCGAGCTCCATCGCCTGCATCAGCGCTGCGTCCGCTGATGACGGCAGATGCGCCGCGGACGACTTGTTGCGGCGGGAGAGGCGCACGACTTCTGGGGAAGCGGCAGGAGAGGGCGCGTCGCCGCCAGATGCGGGCGGTGCTTGCGCTGCAGCGACGGCGAGAGGGTGCGGCGCGGGGTCCGCCATGCTCCCTGCTGGATCCTCGCCCTCCACCACCGGAACCATAGCCTCTGCTGGAAGCGCCTCGCCCTCGCGCCCGCTCTCGGACACGATGGCCGGCGCTTCGGCGTGGCCCACCATGGCGGTGCGTTTGAGCAGCTCCTCCGCGCATCGGATCTCCATCTCCACCGCCGCCTCAATGTCCATCCCCATCCCCGTGCCCATCCCAGTGCCAACCCCCATCCCCGTGCCCATCCCCGTGCCCATGCCCGCGCCCGCGCCCAAGCCCATGAGTGTGCTAATATCCATCATGCCCAAGCCAGAGCTGCCGCTGCTCACCCCCGCGTCCATCCCCATCACGCCCCACGCCGTGTCCCACGTGCCCCAGCTCTCCACCACACCCTCCATTCCCCCGCCTCCGCCCGTGCCCTCCAAACCCCCCTCCCCCTCCGCGCACTCCATTCCCCCACCTGCGAGATCCAGCGCGCGCGGCAGGCTCTCGTCCGCCGCTGCCTCGGGAATCCCCTCTGATGCATTCGCTGCCACTTCCGCTCCGCTGCCTGCCGCACCTTGCGCTGCTACTATCAGCCGCTCCGCCGAGGGGAAGGCCCACGTTGTGCCTGCCTTCGCCGCGAACGGCGCACCGCCGCTGGCGGTGGTGACGGGCTCGCCGTGCTGCTCCAATCGCCGCCGCCACCTTGACGCGCCGTTGCCGCCGTGACGACCAGCGCCCGCAGCTGTCGCAAACCCCGCCGCCAGCGGCGCGCTCGGCGACGTCGCCAACGGCGCTGCGAGCGTGGCTGCCGAATCGCTCTCCCGGCGCGCGTCCGTCGAGGCTGCAGACATGTCATCGGTCCCGCGAGCTCGCGGCTCCTTTGGCGGCAGCATCAACGACGCGGCGGGTAACGGGGCTATGTGAGCGGCAGCGCGGGAGGCGGCGACATGCACGCTGGGGGGTAACTGAGCGGAAGGCGGAAAGTCAGTGGAGGCGAAGAGGCCGTGAAGGCGGTCGGGCAGCGACACGAGGCCGTGCACGGGACTCGAGCCGCTCGCCACGGCCGCCAAGGCCTCGGGGACGACGGGAAGAAAGCCCGCGGTGGGAAGGCGATGCGCGCTCGCTGAGCCCCACAGCCTCGGAGCCGGCGCAATGGGGAGCGGCCCTGAGGGACCGCCAGGCGGGTCTCCGCGCAGCGAGCGCGCGGGCAGGCGGCGCTGCGCGGAGAAGGGAGGGAAGTTTCCGCGGACAGGATTCGGTTCCGCGGCGCTCCAGATTTTGTCGAGCGACGAGTTGTCCAGTATCCGCTGCAAATTGGCGTCGAATGACGGCCGAGCCGCGGCGGTTTCGAGGTGCGCTGCGTCTATCGTGCTCGTGCTGCCGCTCGTATTGCTGCTGACGGCACTACACAACAAGGGCCAGCGTTCGGCGGGCATGGAGCCATCATGCACGGCCGTCGCGGCGGACACGCTCTTGAGTGAATTCTGCATCGGATGTCGGAAATCAACGGCCACGAATGACGCGCTTGAACCGGAGGCTGTGGTGTCGCCGGGAATCACGGCGCTGCTCACCTCGTGCGGAGTTTTAACGCCTCGCCGCAGATGCCGTCGATCCATAGCGAGCACGCCTTTGACGTCGCGGCTCGCCAACTGCTTGTGTGTTGTTTTTCCCTATTCGGCTGCGCCTTCGGGCATTATTAGAGACTTTGTCCCGTACGAAGTCGTAACGCCGCGGAAAGCGGATTATTGCTAGCGCTCTGGCAAACGGATGCTAGAATCAGCTGAAGGAACGGGGATGCGAATCGAAATCTTTTGTCGACGTGCTACTTGAGAAACTCTCGAGAAAGCGCTTCCTGCACGATAAACGGTAGTTACTACCTGCTGAAGATGCTACTAGTGTTGCATGCCGCGTATCAGAAACCCTGTCACAGGGCTTTGGGGGACCAAATGATGATGACACTACGCGGTATCCTTTGTGAGAGCAGCATCATTGGCTTGAGCAGCACTCAGGCCATTTGCGTATTTGTCGATTTTTGAAGGTTTTTATTGCCATTCCTAGCGATGTCCTTGAATAAGGCGTTGAAGTAGAGCTTCCTAGACCGTGTGCCATCCATCCCGAAGCCCTGCTGCCCCAAGAGGAGCAGCGGGATTGAGTGAGGGCACTTTGTTGATCGTCCCTCTGTCTCACAGATCGCCGCGCAGCACGTACAGCGTGGATCAAACGGGCGGGCTGGACTGCACACTGTACAAGATAGTGACGAGGTAAGGAAAACCCTGACAGCTAAGCTGAACGCCATGGATGGGACTACAGAATTGATTGCTGGGGGATGGTTTGAAGTGTCTTCTTGTTTGCAGGCTCAATCAGGACATGCTATTTCACCACGCTGTAACTCTCATTCTTCTAGGGATAACGTACTGCACCATTTACATTACTGCATAAACGTACTGCACCATTTACACTTTGCAATCTTTCTTCGTTGGTGCCATTTGGAAGTCGCGTTCGGCTTGCGGCGACAGTAACGCCGCGCGCCCACACTCAATGGGGGAATGCGGCGTGCAGATGCTGCTTTGTGCGACTCTGCGGCAAGAAATGGGCTGGCGAGGATGTGTGCTTGGCTGTGCATCGAAATTCGAAATGATCAGACCAAGACAGAACGTCATGCTGCATTCCCGCCGAATTTGCAGCCTTGAAGTTGCCTCAGGTTCACGTTTCGAAAGTTCAGGTTAGTGCGAGTCAACAGCATTGTTCGAAAGTTCACTATTTGCCCTTCGTTCACTCCATTTCGAGGCCATCTCGGTCTTACAGTTAAGTGTCCCTTGATCCTTTCGGAAATACGTAGCTCTCCTAACAAAGGTGGGCGAGCTTCTATATGGCACTAGAAAGAACAAGTCACGAGATAACAAGGACCCAGTACATGCCAACGAAGATGTAATTCACTATATGCCAACTCTGATAGTAATTTTGGAGCTAATTGTAGTTAGATCACCTTCTGTGATGAATGGATATTCACGAGCTTGCGTGGAAGGATCGCGGAATGGATTGGAAGGCAAAATCATTTCTTCAGCAACTGAAAGACTCGCTTCCGCCAATGGCACGCGCAGGAACCCAGGACAGTTGCGGATTAATGATGACGCATGGGTTTATCACATGGACTATCGGCCGATTTGATTTCTGCAAGAGAAGCATTTTTCAAAGAATCTTTCATCACTCCCTCCCAGGAACGCCAGCAATTGTGTCGTCAGAGCGAATGCCCTGTTTTGCGGCTGCCACTTTTTCACTTGTGCTGATTGCAGGCAGTCCAGACTAGACTAGACACATGTGTTCTGGACGTTTTGGGCACTTGAATTGTTGCAAGGGCTTGCCCCCCAACCTTGCAGCAAACAATCCAGCCTGGCGGATCCTTTGACACGGCCGAGCTCTCACTGGTTCGTTGGGACCATCGTGCTCGTCACGTGATGGATACTTCCTTACAATCATCCGCAGTAAATGAAGGGTTTCCAGAAGGGAGGTGCGATGTGATGGGATGGCGCCGAATCTGGCTTTGCTGGCTGGGTGGGGTGGGCCTCGCAGCCCAAGGAGGATATTTCTGCATCACTGGCTACCGTGTATAGTTTTCCTAAGTACAGTGCCTAATGCCAACCATATCTTCAAAGAGTTTCTTTCTCTTATCTTATTGTATTAATTTAACCATTACAGTTGAGATGTGTTGTAGCCGTGGGGGATCAAAGTCCACTAACGAAGCAGGAGTCGCGTGTTTGTGACGTGTTCATGATGCTGTGTGCACCAATCATTCCGCATTGCGCCCACTTATAGGTGTGACCGAATTTTCCAGCGCCTATCGCGGTGGTTATCGCATTTCTCGAGCCATGGTGTCGTATTTGTTCGCTCCATTCATGTCGCGGCGAGTCAGTGACGTCAAGCGGGTTTCCTCTGTACAGGTAGTAATGTTGGCCAGGGCCGCCGCGGAACCCCTAGATCCGCTACAAGCTGCGGAAAGAGGAACCCGGAATTTGCACCAATCAGTGACGCCGTCGACGCGCGTAACCTCCTCCTCTTCATCGTCGCGCCGATTCTCTTGGTTATTCCCCGCTCTCGTCGGCGCACTGGCAGGCGGAGCGACTGTGACAGCTGCGCTTCCATCCGCTCATCATGCGCGATCCGCTGGTCCTTCCGCATCCCCTCTCTATGGGTCGCGTGACGCCGCCCCCGCCTTTACAGCCTCGGCGCGCGCGGGATTTATTCCACGCCTGGTTCTCACCGCCGATGTTTCCCCAACGGCTATCCCCTTTCCCGGCCCCGAATCCCCGCCTCTGGCCGCGCCTCCCCCGCATGGATCCCTTCCCGCGCCCCGCAGCGTGGTTGAGGGGATCAAACGGCTGCTACCGGGGGAAGGGGAACCTGGGGGGAAGGCGGAGGCGCAGGGGGAAAGGGGAAAAGGACTTAAGGATGGGGAAGGAGAGTGGACGAAGGAATTTAAGAGTGTGAAACAGGGGGGAAGTGGTGGAGACGGGGGGATGGTAGGGGGGGGACAAGGGGAGGCGGATGCGGGGGAGAAGGGGGAGGCAGGTAGTAGTAGTGGTGAGTGAATTGCGTGTGGGCGGAATTGCATGTCTAGACATGCCATTGCTGACGCGGCTGCAAGAGCAGCGCCTGCTGTGGTCAATCTTGTTGGATGCAAATGCACATTGCACGACATCCTGCCGTCTGTTTGTACGAGTATGCGTGTGCGAATGCATTTGCGTGTGAATGGTGTGTTCGTGTGTTTGTTTGCTTTCGCATTTTTCGCTTGATGCATTTGCAGGTACTCGCGCAATGTGCGCTTTGGCACAACATTGTATGCGCTATGAACAGTGCAAGCAGGAAGGACGAGCTCGCAAAGGAACCCAAGATGGAAGCTTTGCAGTTCGGTTGAGTTGATTGCGCAGATTCAGTTCTATCCAACTCGGAATTGTACTGTTTTGTTTGGTTAACTATAGTGTAGCAGGGAAGGCACTATAGGGGTACAATTTAGGTGAAGGTTGGATGTTGTTTGTCTGTATCTGCATGCTACAAGGCCAGGGGAAACCAGCGGAACCAGCATTTGGCTGGTTGGGCAAAGACAAAACATGTTCTGTTTTTAGAACCTGAACCTGGTTGTTGTTTTCCCAGGTTGGAAAAACAGAACCAGAGGTTGTTTACCAACCTACCACCTGCTATTTTGTCCAGCCAGGTTGGTTCTGTTGCTTGGAATTATTTGGGATCATCCCTGGTTGTTCCCAGGTTGATTCCCAAGGTCCTTGCTAGCTAGAACTATTTAATCATTCTCTGTTTGTACCTGAACATAGTCAAATTGATTCAAGCGAATTCCTTCCTCGCTGGAATTTCGTTTCTGCGCTATTCGACGGCGGAATGCTACCCGAGTCAACGCTAGTATGCTAGCACTCCAACGCTAGGCAAACGCTGTCCGAGCCGTAACTTAGTAATGGCAGAACTTTTCGCGAGGCAACTTGGCTCATTTTAAAGCTCTTGGAGCGAGCTTCGATATAGCGAATTCTCAGCTTAATCCGATCGACGGTCTGCACGGCACGCTGCGCGACGTTCAAGGTACTCTTGCTGTTTTGACTAAGTCCTTCTTGATCCCTCTCTCTACAAACTCGGACCCGAGGATAGGGGCTGGTCTTGTACCAGGCACCCAGGGACCCTTGGAGGTGACCCCGAGGAGAGGTTTTAAGTTTGATTAAGTCCTAATAGCTTGAGTTTATTAGGCCCTTACACCAACAAGCTGGTATCAGAGCTGCGTTATAGTGATCCTCGTTATAGGTAGCTATGGCGGGCAACACCTCGGCGGGAGCTGGTGAATCTTCAGCCCAAGATCGTAGCGGCAGCCAAGATTCTGGTCTTTCAGCGCCAAGGGGAGCGCGAACAAACCAGGGCTCGCTTGTCAAGGAGGTGCTGAAGAATTTCACCGTCGAGAAGTTCAATGGTGAGGGCTATGATGATTGGGCCTGGAAAATGCAATTATATTTCCGTCAGATCGGTTTGCTGAAACTAATGATTGGGGAGGAGCCTAGACCGAGTGACCCCACGCTGCAGGAAGATTGGGACGAGCGCTCCTCGGCTGGCTACTATTTGATGTCGCAGAGTTTGGAGCTGAACCAGCGTCACCACGTCATGCACCTGCTGCCGGAGGTTGAATGCGGTCCGAAGGCGTGGACCGTGTTGAAGGAGCTGCACGCCCCGACCTCCGTTGTCGCAACGTTGATGCTGGAGAGGGAGCTGTCCGCGTTGCGCCTGAGCGAGGGAGAGCCGGTGCAACCAGTCCTGGACAAGATGCGCGACCTCTACGCGAAGTTGGCGACCGCGGGAATCACCTACCCGGAGCAGACCAAGTGCTTGAAGATGCTCTCGCTGCTGCCAGAATCGTGGCTTCAATTTACGAGCGGATTGAGCCTGCCGCAGAACCAGAGCTTGTGGACGCTCGAGTGGGTGCGGACGAAGATTCTGGAGGAGGACTTCCGTCGCCGCCAACTGAGGGGTGGAGACGACGGCAGCAGCGGCTACGGGATGCAAGGGAGCCGACGTGGCAGAGGACGTGGCTTCGGTGGTGCTGGACGCGGTGCAAAGAAAGACGACGACT